GGTGCTGAGCTTCAGGACAGTGCCTAGCTTTTGTCCCTGAACCTCTAGACCTGGAAGGAGTCTCAGAAATCATCTCAGTTGCTCCCTGGATTTATAGATGGGAGGCAAGTTCCAAAGAGGAAAGTTATTGACCCACTGTCACACAACAGTTTCTTCTACCATCCTCCTCACTCATCACCATCACCAGAAGGATCCCTGATATTTTGACCACTATTTGGGTCCCCTTTCCCATGTTCTGAACAACTTCTTGCTGTTGTTGCTGGGGGTGGAACACAGGGCCTCATAAACACTAAGTAAGTAGTCTACCACTGACCTACATCCCTAGCCCATATTCTTGACCCTGAACCACCCACCTGTCCAATCCTATTCCTCAGTCAGTTTCCCAGCAAGCTGACCAGTAGGGCAGCCAATTCTGTTTCTCCAAGCTCCTGAATGCTGTTTAGCAATCTGTGACTGAGGGTGAGAGGGAAAGGGCAGAGGAACCAGAGGCTTATTCCTCAGAAAGCACAATGAGATGCATCCCAGGTATGCAAGGTCTGGTTGTCAAAAGCCACACCCCTGCCCCTGGTTCTGCCATTGCCAGTATCCCCTGGAGTTTGATGTTCTGTTAGGCTTCTTATATTCCCCTCTCTTGCTCCTGGCTTAGGTTTGTGACACAGACTATGTCCAGTATCCAAACTACTGTTCCTTCAAAAGCCAGCAATGTCTGATGAGAAACCAGAATCGGAAGGTGAGCACCCCAACCTGCCCCCACCTCCTCCTGCCAGCCCTTCAGTCACCCATACCATGTATGTGTATTCTGAGTTCCCCTCTTCCAGAAGTTGGGCTATGGGGAGCCAGTTCTCTACTTGCATCTATAGGTCAGGGACCTCTTCAGGGTGCTTCCTCCAGGCCTCTGGTCCTGGATTAAGCAAGTCCCTCCTCCCAGGCACAAGGGTTCAAGAGGAAGATGGTGCAGATGAGGGGAGGACACTGAGGACATCACACCTAGGCTAGAAATTGGATGTTGAGTTTTAATCTGGCTTCCTTACTTACTAGGTAGCCTAGGATAAGTCAAGTGCCCCTCTGTGCTTCAGATTCCTGATTTCCAAAAGAAGGGGTTTGAGCCACTTGGTATTTTCTCCATCATACAGAAAAAAAATTATTTTTTTAGTTTCCTCTTCTCTTTTACTGCCCACCTCTGTTTCTTGTGATGCTTCTGACACCTCCTCACCTGCACATTCCTGGCACCTGGCTCTGTGTCACAGATTATATATGCACAATCCCCATGTAGGTATCCCGCACAAGATGTCTGCAGAATGAAACTTACACTGTTTTATCCCTGACCAAAAGTGAGGACCTTGTGCTTCGATGGAGCCAGGAGTTCAGCACCTTGACTCTAGGCCAAGTTGGATGAGCTGGGATCCATTCTGGCCCCACTCCAGCCTGACAGGTCCACTTTCTTTATCTGTCAGTTTGCTTTCAGGCTGCCTCTCTTGGGTCTCTTACCTAGTCCCTAGTAACACTCTCCTTGGGTTGGGGTAGCAGTCCCAGAGAGGTCCACAATGGGAGTTCCATCTGCCTTAGGAGAATGTCTTTATATAAAGTGTTTATTTTCAGCCTGTGTGCCCTTTTTTGGTTTGATCTTCATCCTCAGCACTGCCACCTTGCCCTTGGGAATCAACCTCTAACCTCCCAATTTTATGGATCCAGCTGCAGATGAGAGAACCTCATGGGAATGGTACTCAGGGAAGCAGCCATCTGTCAGAGAAGCAGAAGACCTAAGCAGTCAGGGAATTGGATTGAAGAAGGCTATGGCCAGGGTCTTAGGGATTATGTGTACTATGAGGGCATGTGTCTCTTCATTTCTGAAGCTCTGGGTCCTGTGATCTTAGAAGTGAGTGTAGGATTGTCCCTCTAAAGGATAAGGGTCAGAGCCTGAGATCATGTCCACGGGGATCAGCTCTGGACAAGTAGGGCATAGCTTACACTTTTTCAAGAGAGGAGAAACACATGTTGAGTTTCTTCCTCTACTATAGGCTCACAGTAGTCAACAGTATTTTTTTTTTTTCTTGCAGTGCTGGGGATCAAACCCAGGGCCTTGCACATGCTCCTCAAGTGTTCTACCACTGAGCTCATCCCCAGCCCATTAACAGAATTTCTAAAAAACTTATTATGGAAAATTTCAAAAATGCACAAAAATAGTATAATGTGCTGGGTATGATGGCACACGCCTGTAATTCCTACTGGGGAGGCTGAGGCAGGAGGCCAGCCTGGGCAACTTAACAAGAAGCTGTCAGAAAGGAAGGGAGGGAGGGAGGGAGGGAGGGAGGGAGAGAAAAGAGCTGGGGATGTGGATCAGTGGAGAGCACTGCTGGGTTCAGTTCCCAGTTCCAAGAAAAACAAAACAAAAAAACAGTATTATGAACCTTCGTGTACCCTTCACCCCGCCCTATATGACCTATCATTCAACAGAATAGAATGTTAAAGGTCCTACAAAGCTTCATAATAAAGAAATTTTAACCTAATGTTTTCCAAACTCATTTGACCACAAATGAGTACTACTTGCCATTTGAAAACTTATGCTTATGTTTTCTGAGGGGCTGTGCTCAGCTGCAGGATACAGAGGCGAGGGTATGTCATCTGAGCTTTCTGCCCTTCTGAAACTCCAAGCCTGGGGAAATAGACCTGAGTAAAGAGGAAGCATCCAGCCTGGCATTGTTGGAGGAGCTGGGTGTGTACTGGAAGGGAGAGAGGAAGAGACAGAGGGCCTTGCAGAACACTGGTATGCAGAGAGAACCCTGGGCAGGGGAAGGTACAAGCAGAATTGCATGGGGTAAACCACCTGGCCGACCTAAGAGAGGAAGAGACACACAGGGGAGGGTATGAGTGAGAACAGTGAGCAGCAGTGGGTTAGTCATCGGGTATCAGTGGTGGGTGTGCCAGTAAGAGTTCCCGGAAGCTGCTTGAGTGTGTGAGGGATGGGTGGGGGAGGTAGGTGGTAAATTAGGGCTGGATTAAGTGTCATTAGCTGCTGGAGTGGGGGGTTTCTTCTCTAGTCCATGAAGGCCTCTGAGGTCAATGCTTCCTCTTCTCTTTCTCCTTGGCCCTGTGGGGTTGGGTGAGTGCAAAGAGCTGGGAGGGATGTGCTGAGAACTGCTGGGGTGGGTGTGTCACCACCCGCCCAGGAGCAGGTCCTACCAGCCCAACCCAGCACAGAACAGGCAGCGGAAGCCAGCCTGGGGCAGCCACAGAGCGACAAAGGGAGCACAGGTATGGGGGTGTGACAGGTGGGGTTGAACTGCCCAGGGTGGGACAAGGGGCAGGACCCCTCTTGTGGAAATGGGAGACATAGGTGGGGATGTAGATGAGGGTGGGACTTGGGCCCTGGAAAACCTTTTTGAATACAGTAAAAAGCCCAAAGGGGCTGCCTTAGCCAACAGATCTTCTCAGAGCTGCTGGATGAAGCAGCCAACATGTCTGACACACCCAGGAGTGCCCCTCTGAAGGGGATCCCAAGGGATCCCAAGCTTCCACCCCAGGGCATCCCAAGGGTCCTCCCCTTCACCCTGGAGGTCCCCCCTCTCATGCTTAACTTGAGCTTCCAAAGGGAGGGGGCCTCTGGAAATGCTTCCAATATTTTCCAGGCCTTCTAATATACGACAATGAGCTAATCTGATTAAACTCTGCTAATGGGTTCACTGGCGCAGATGTGTTTTTATTTATTGCTATCCTTCTCAGGTAACCAAGGTGTATTTTACATATATTTTTTATTTTTTGCGGTGCTGGGTATGGAACCTAAGGCTCCAAGGATGCTAGGCAAGCTTTCTACCACTAAGCCCTAGCCTCATCCCCCAAAGGCATATTTTAATGCACTCTCAAGGAAGAATGGCCTCCACCCAAAGGGCTCATCTTTTTTTTTTTTTTTTTTTAAGAAAGCCTTCTCTTATTTATTTTTTTGAGAGAGGTAATTTTTTTTAATATTTATTTTTTAGTTTTCGGCAGACACAACATCTTTGTTTGTATGTGGTACTGAGGATCGAACCCGGGCCACACCCACGCATGCCAGGCCAGGCACTACCACTTGAGCCACATCCCCAGCCCCTGGGCTCATCTATATAAAGGGATTGGGCTAGATGGTCTCTAATGTCCCCAAGGTGTTGACAATGTGGCATGAAAGGAAGGAAATTTCAGATATTAAGCCCAGGTGGAGGGACTGTGTGTTTCTGGGACCAATGAGGGCTGTTGCCTATCTGTAACCGATGTTTATGGAAGTCTCTATAACAAGAAGAGGATCATATCAGATTGTTATTTTGTTATTTCCAAAACTTTTTTTTTTGTACCAGGTATTGAATTCAGAAGTGCTTTACCACTGAGCCACATCCTCAGCCCTTTTTTTTAAATATTGTTTTTAGTTGTAGATGGACACAATACTTTTATTTTATTTTTTATGTGGTGCTGAGGATCAAACCAGTGCCTCACGTGTGCTGGGCAAGCGCTCTACCATTGAGCCACAACCTCAGCCCTCCCCAGCCATTTTTAAAAAATTTGAAACAGGGTGTCTCTAAGTTGCTGGCTTTGAACTCTCGTGATCCTCTAGACTCAGCCTCCCAAGCCGCTGGAATCACAGGTGTGTGCCACTGCACCCGGCTGCAAAACTCTTTTTCCCAGGAGATGGAGGTAGTGATTGAGGGGAAGTGGAAACTTAATTCTGTATTTATGTATGTGTGTGTGTGTGTGTGTGTGTGAGAGAGAGCATGCTTGCTCATCTCCCCAGCCACCCAGAGACAGAAGATCCCAGCTCCATCTGTGCTGCCTGATGTCATCAGCTCTCCCCACTCTGCTAACCTCAATCTTTATCCCAGAGACATTTAATGCCCAGGAGTATTAAAAAAGAGAAAAAAGTTGGTATAGTTAAAAATTGAACTTAGGGCTAGGGTTGTGGCTCAGTGGCAGAGCACTTGCCTAGCACAGGTGAGGCATTGGGTTCAATCCTCAGCATCACATTAAAAAAAATGAACAAATAAAAGTATTATGTAAAAAAATTTAACTTGTCAATTTTAACATTGCTGTTACTTCTGAAATAAATGTGATATTCTGGTTTAAAAAAAAAGAAAATGAAGGGGAAAAAGTAAAAAAAAAAAGATAGCTAAAAGGGTGAGAGTTGAAGGGGCTGTGGGTGTGGTGAGCACTTACTTAGCATGTGTGAGGCCCTGGGTCCCCAGCACTGGTGTCAGGGAAAGGGGGGCTGAAGCCAATGGTACACACTAACAGCAAGAGCAAGGTGAGGGAGGCTGAAAACCTTCAGGAGATTGTCTAGAAGAGGACCTGCCAGGCCTAAAGTAAGAATAAGATGCACATGGGGCACAGGTCATCAGGGGCTGAACCTGTTGCAGTGACTTTTTGGCTGGGATTTATTATCTTCCACTCTTGAAAGCAGGGTGGAGGGAGATGTGCAGGTGGTGTGGTGTCATCCACATATCAGGGAAACTAATTGAACTTTGGGCTGCCTTTGCTTTCTGCCTTTTCCCAGGAGAATGTTTGGAGAGATTAGTGTCTCTAAGTTGCTTAAGTTCTCTCTAAGTTGCCAAGGCTGGCACCCAGGAAGGGAGAAGACATGGCTAAGGATGATGTTGGAAAGGCTGAAGGAGAAAGGCTATTGTGGGATGGGGTGTGGTAGAAGAGACTGGAATAGGAAGTTTGGCTGAGGAAATGGGGAGGAGGGAAGACAGTGATAAGACAACACCACTCCAGCCTGAGCCCAAGAGACCCCACTTTTAGGCAAGATTGTGATCTCTGAGGCAGAAAGGAGCCTCCTCACTCATCTTGGAGCTCAGACTATCTCCATATCCCAGGCCTTCCCATCTCATTCCTACTACACCTGAGACCCAAGATAAACTGATAAACAGGATTTGTTTGTACTCCCAAAGAAGTCACGGGACCAAGATTTTCACAAAGATGTAAGACTGGGTGAAGCTTCTGAAGGCTCAGACCAGCTGGATCTGTTTGCAGAGACTGAATATACTAATGCGAAGGGATGTTTATAATTAACCCTGTCTGAGAGGAAAGTGTGCACCCGCCCCCAACACTGCCTGAACACAGAAGCAAGGAAGTGGGTCTAGCTAATTTAACTAGCAGGTTAGAACTTTTACCAAAGGGGTATTTCCTGTGTCTGTATGAAACACCGGTTGGGTGTTTAAAGAGGTTGGAGCTATCCCAGAGCTGATCTTAAGGGACAAGGAGAGTCCTTTTCAAACTTTTGACCTGGGGAGAAGGCAGAAGGATATGAATAAAAACAGAAGGCAAAGAGAGAACAAGGCATTTGGTGCATGCGCGGGAGGGCCAGGGGGAACAGCACAGAGATGGTGCCACACAGAAGTTGGACATTGAAGAGGTATTTCTGTTCCCCTTCCTGTCCCTATCATCGTCCTAAATCACCTAGTCCTTTGTCTTTAGCTCCCCTCTGCATTATTGGCCAGTTGCCAAATAACATGGCTACTGAGGGCAGGGGTGTGGAGAACAGTGAGGGAATGATCATGATCTAGCCTCCTGCTCACTCTTACTCCCTCATTCTTACTTCCTGCCTGTGGCAGAAAATAGCCCTGCCCTTCTGGCTTATCTCAGCCAAGAGCAGCACCCAGCCCAGCTCAGAGGGCAATGGGACAGATCCCAGAGGCCCTGAGGAGGTAATAAACCTGGACCCTGAAGGTGCAGAAAGGAAGCTGAAGGACAGATGCCGTGAGCAGCAGGTGGCGGCACATGCTCTGGTGTGTGAGTGGTAATGGTGGGGTGGGATGGTGGTGAGAAGAACAGTTCCCATAGCCTCCGTGTATATGGTGGATTCTTTGTACCTTGCTGCCTTGCAGTTGAGATTTGTTTGTTGGTGTCTGCATGGAAACATGCTTGTGAAAGTGCCTGATTGTATAGTCTTGTCTGTGTAATAGGATATAATCCCTAAGGCAGGGGCTATGTCTCCTCTTCCGGCTGTGGCCCATCATCTGTGTACATGCTTGTATATTACCTGGTGTGTGTAAACATTGATTTGTATGTTACTGGGGATCTGTATGCACATCTCTTTTTTCTTTAATTTATATATATAAAAAAAAATTTAGACGTTGATGGACCTTTATTTTATTCATTTATTTATATGTGGTCCTGAGAATCAAACCCAGTGCTTCACACATGCTAGGCAAGTGCTCTACCACTGAGCTACAATCCCAGCATCAAGCACCTCTCTTACTGTATGAATGTAAAGCATCTCCATGTCTGTGAACAGACATGTGTATAATGGTGTGCCTATATTTCCACATCAGTTTGTGTCCGTGTTACTGGACTTATGTAGGCCTCCACGTCCCTCCTCCTTCCTGGTGAAATGAAACCCCAGAGTTCCTTCTCTCTGAGGCAGCTGCTGTTTCTTTGATTCCTACATTTCCCCAACAACCTGACTTCTTCCTCAAGGCAGGACTAGGGCAGAGGGTCTGTGCTGCCCCTCCCCCATGCCTACATCCCATCTTCCATTTCCTGTTTGCCTCCTTTTTGGCAGTTTTTTCCATCTTTGCCATCTGGCCTGGCACTGTGCCCATACAGCTACACAGATAGGAGCCTCCGGGCTCAGGGAAGCAGGGGAATAGGGTTGCGCCAAAGCAGGGGCCTGGCAGCTTTCAATGCTCAGTTTGACCTTTCTGAATGATAGAAAGAGGTAGCTTCCCCAGCTCCACTGCTCCCCGGTACTGGGGATGGAACCCAGGGCCTCCTGCATGCTTGGCAAGCACCCTGCCACTGAGCTACTTTCCCAGACCTGAGACAGGATCTCACTAAGTTACATAGACTGGAACTTGTGATCCTCCTGCATGATCCTCCTTGAGTTGCTGGGATTATAGGAATGCACCATTATGCCCAGCAAGTGGTGGCTTTTTGACAAAGAAACTAGGGACTTCTCTTCTTTGGAATAGGGTAATAGAATCATCATGATTTCCTTTACTATAGGATTCCTAACCTTTCCTTTGAGTAGTAGCTCAAGGAATCCACTTTGGTCTATGTAACTTTGCAACTTTTTAAACAGAACAACTGGGGATTCTTGGAAAATAATTCATTTGTTCAGTTTCTAATGTGTGTTTCCTAATTATAAGGAGCTACTATATGGTTCTCAAGTAATGGTTAAGAATGATAAAGCATGGGGGCTGGGGTTGTGGCTCAGTGGTAGAGTACTCGCCTGGCATGTGTAAGGCACTGGGTTCGATCCTCAGCACCACATAAAACTAAATAAACAAAATAAAGGTATTGTGTCCATCTACAAAAAAAAAAAAAGAATGATAAAGCATGGGCTGTGGATATAGTTCAGTGGTAGAGCCCTTGCCTATCACTCAGAGGCCCTGGTTCAATCCCCAGCATCAATCAATCAATCAATAAAGTGTAACTTTATTGATTTATTGAATTATAGAATAAACTATTATTGAAATCTTAATATGAGATGTTTCCAAACAGTCCTTTTAAAAGACATGGTTTCATACTAAGTCGGTTATACATGTGGAACCAGATAGGAATGTGAAAAGAAGTGGTTAGGTGCCTGGGTTTTGTTTTTTTTTTTTTCCTCCAGTGCAATGGATTGAAACAGGGGTGCTCTTAATTGAACTACACCCCCAGTCCTTTTTATTTTTTATTGAGACAGGGTATCACTAAATTGCTAAGGTTGACCTTGAACTTGTGATCCTCCTGCCTCAGCCACCCAAGTAGCTGATATTACAGGTGTGTGCCACCATGCCCAGCCGGTGATTGGATTTTGACACAAGAGATGTTATAACAGGATTATGAGTGGGCTAACATGTTGAGTGGGGAGTAGATTTCCTGCCAGGCAGCCAATAAGTGTCACTCAGGTCTTCGAAGTGCAAGGATTGAAGTGTACATCTGCAGGGTGTGGTCCCCACCCCAGGGCCTTACCATCAACATGAACCAATGTGCATAAAACAACTGAGGGGATCAAAGCAGCAAATTAAGTGTTTGAGTACTTTCTCTCTCTCTTTTTCTTTTTTTTTGTATGTGGTGCTGAGGATCAAACCCAAGCCGCACGCATGCCAGGCAGAGCGCGCTACCGCTTGAGCCACATCCCTAGCCCTCTTTTTTTTTTTTTTTTCTTTTTTTGCTAACAGGGACTAAATTCACTGAGCCACATCCACATCCCTTTTTCATATTTTATTTAGAGACAGGGTCTTGCTAAGTTGCTTAAGGACTCACTAATTTGCTGAGGCTGGCTTTGGACTTGGGATTCTTCTGCCTCATCCTCCCAGCTGCTGAGGTTACAGGCATGAGCCACTGTGCCCAGCTTAACTGTTTAAGTACTTTTTTTTTTTTTTAATTTTCTGAGAAGGGGAGCTACAATGTTGCCCAGGCTAGCTTGGAACTCCTGAGCTTAAGCAATCCTTCTCAGCCACCTGAGTAGTTGGAACTACAGGCATGTACCACTATGTCCAGCTCAAATATTTAAGTACTTATGGGAAATTATAAGGAGGCACATATGCGTGTTTGTGTAAAGAAAGATGAGTTTGTTACCAATGTTTGAAGTTGGAAATAAGAAGGAAGTGGTGTTTTGTTTTTTCAGTACAGGGGATTGAACCCAGGTCCTTGCACAGGCTAAAGCACTCCACACTGAACCACAACGCCAGTAGGAATTTGGTTATTAAAATGTATATCAATTGGACAAATGATGAAGTAAAATAAGTTACCCCTGAGCACAGATTTCATATAGTTAACTATAGAAGACTAGGTGCTCTACCCAGCATCTATCCACTTATTGAATCATCCATTCTGGTTGGAAGCAACACAGTATATCTTGGACTTTGGAACTGGGCAGTCCTGGGTTTTATCCTCAACTCATTCCTTGGTGATCAGCTCTTGGGCTTCTGTTTCCTTTCCTATAAAAATGAGGACAGGGCTGGGGATGTGGCTCAAGTGGTAGAGCGCTCACCTGGCATGTGTGCGGCCGGGGTTCGATCCTCAGCACCACATACAAACAAAGATGTTGTGCCCGCTGAAAAACTAAAAAATAAATATTAAAAAAAATTCTCTCTCTCTCTTTAAAAAAAAAAATGAGGACAAACACCTACCTCGAAGGATGGTTGGAAGGGTTAGAAATTAAGTATGAAACACACCCTGGAATATGGTTACTATTATTTTTCAGTCTACATTTATTGAGGTAGGTGCTGGGGATACAAAGATGAATAAGCCATAGTCCACAGTCCCTCCCTCAAGGAGCTCACAGTCTAATGGGAGAGGCTGATTAAGAATAATTAATTACAGGGCTGGGGATGTGGCTCAAGTGGTAGCGCGCTCGCCTGGCATGCGTGTGGCCTGGGTTCGATCCTCAGCACCACATACAAACAAAGATGTTGTATCCGCCAAAAACTAAAAAATAAATATTAAAATTCTCTTTCTCAAAAAGAAAAAAAAAGAATAATTACTATACACATGGGAATAGCTGTTAGACCTGTGCCTCCCTCCACCCTGGAAAGCACAAGGCTGAAGGGACAACATCTTCCCTGTGGGGGAGGCAGATCACCGGGTCCTGAGAAATGACTCAATTTGCCAGTTGGAGAATGAGAGGAAACAATACAAAGGCAGAGGTCTGAAAACAAAGGAACATGGGTGAAAGTGGGGATGTCTACCCAGAAACAAGTCTGATTTTATTTGCTTTTCAGCATTTTAAGTCCCATTTGGTATTATAGTCATCCCTTGGCATCCCTGAGAGATTGGTTTCAGGAATCCCCCTTGGATACCATAACCTATGGATGCACAAGGCCCTTAAGTAAAATGGTATAATATTTTCAAATAATCTAGACATATTATCTTATATACTTTAAATCATCTCTAGATTATTTATAATGCCTAATACAATATAAAAGCTATGTAAACAAGTTACACTATATTGTTTGGGGGATAACAACAAGAAAAAGGTTGTATATATTTAGTATAATTTTTAAAATTTATTTTTTTGTGGTGCTTGGGATTTGAACTCAGGGATACTTTACCACTGAACCCCCCACTCCTTTTAATTTTTTTTTTTTTTTATTTAAGACAGGGTCTTGCTAAGGTGCTGAGTCTGGCTTCAAATTTGTGATCCTCCTGCCTCAGTCTCCTGAGTAGCTGGGATTACTTGCAATTGGTTGAATCCATGGATGTGAAACCTGTGGTTATGGAGGGCTAACTGTATTCTCATTGTCAAATTGGCACTTTACAGGAGAAATGTTTATTTCCTTAAACTGTTCCTCAACATCTCTCGCTAGTCTCAAGCTACTAGTGGTGATGATTGGTGAGAGAATAAATAAATAATCTGGTATTTTCAGGTTTACAATTTAATTTTCTGCAAGTTTATCTATTTTGTAGTGCTAGGGACTATAGGGGGACCTTCAGCATGCTAAGCCACATACACACTGAGCCACGTCCTCAGTGCAATAGGCAAAATTAAATTGCTTCTTTTGGATGGAACCAGCTTCATTCATGTCTTGGGATACTTGCTCAAGGTCTGAGACAACTTCTCTCCCTAAGATGTGGCCAATAGTATTGCTTAATGGCTATAGAGTTGTTGTTTGAGATGATGAAAAAAATTCTATTTCTGGTAATCATTATTGGTGAGGATTATGTATCATTTTAAATGTACTTCATGACATGGAATAGTACACTTAACAATGATGTTGGAAGCTGGGTGTGGTGGTGCATGCTATAATCCCAGCTACTTGGGAAACGGAGGCAGGATTGTAAATTTAAGGCCAATCTGGATAATTTACCAAGATCCTGTCTCAAAACAAAAAGTTTTAAAAAGGTCTGAGGAGCTAGGTGCCATGATGTATGCCTATAATCCTAGCTACTCTGGAACCTAAGCCAAGATCACAAGTTCAAGACCAGCCCCAACAACTTAGTGAGACCCTATCTCTCAGCTCAGAGGTGAAGATAGAGTGCTTGCTTGTTAGGCATGAGGCCCTGGGTTCCACTGCCCAGTACGTAGAGCTGGGCCTACTGGCATATTCCCTCCCGTACCCTGTAGTTCCAGTTATTCAGGAGGTTGAGGCAAGAGGATCACTCGAGCCCAGCAACTTGAGGCCAGTCTGGACAGCATAGTGAGATTCTGTCTCAAACAAACAAACAAACAACAACAAAAAAAAACTAATTGGCCTTAGGGAGTTGAGAAAGTTGGGACACTCAGATCACATCCTATTCTTTGGCTTGTCTACCTCTTGGCTGCGTCCTTGATCAGCCAACTTTGCCTGAAGACTGAAGTTGCTGCAGCCTGCTCTTTAATGGCAGCTGAAACCCTACTACTCCTTACCTTCACCCTCTCTGGGTCCCTTATGTGTCTTCACTATCAAACCACTGTGTTCCCTATCACAGAGCTAACTTCCTCTTGGAAGCTCTTTTGGTAGACCCTCAAGGGGGAACACCCAGAAAAAGCCCAAGGTACTCTTTTTTTTTTTTTTTTATTTAATAGACTTTTTTTTTTTTTTTTAAAGAGAGAGAGAGAGAATTTTTTAATATTTATTTTTCAGTTCTCGGCGGACACAACATCTTTGTTTGTATGTGGTGCTGAGGATCGAACCCGGGCCACACTCATGCCAGGTGAGCGCGCTACCGCTTGAGCCACATCCCCAGTCCCCCAAGGTACTCTTAACATGCCTCTGCCCAAAGCAGCTGGGCAATTGGCCTATAAGGTACCAATACATTCTTATTTCCATTTTACAGATGAAGAAACAGCATTAGGGAAGTCAATCAGGATGAACCCATATTGCTCTGATATCAAATATCAGAAGGGTGGATGTGATGAGTGAGGCTGGGATTTTGTACAGGACTTGGGAGTCTGAACTTTAGATAATGGGGAGCCAGCCTAGCACCTGGCCTGGAGAGGTGCTTCATACTATTTCTCCCACATGATGGACCTATTTAAGTGGACTTCTTTGTTATCTGCCTCCTTCCAGTGGAATGTAAAGTAGGTGGGGGGCGGGGGGAAGGCCTATGTTTTGCTCACTACCCTGAACATGCCTGGAATCTTTTAAAGACTTAGTAAGCATTTGAGGTAGGGAGAGTTCTTTTAAGACAACAGCAACCTAAGCATTTTATGTACATGATTTTATTTAATCTCTAAACAACTTCATGAATTAAAGCCTTCATGAGCTTTTTTTTTAAAAAAATACTGGGAATTGAAACCAGGTTTGATTTGCCACTGGGCTAAATCCCCAGGCCTTTTTATTTTTATTTTGAGACAGGGTCTCGCTAAGTTGTTTAGGGCCTTGCTAAATTTCTAAGGCTGGTCTTGAACTTTTGATGGTCCTGCCTTGGCCTCTGGAGTCTCTGGGATTACAGGCCTGTGCCTCCACACCTGTCTAGTAAAGATCACTTTTAACATGCTATGCCACCCCCATTCAAGGTTAAATAAGATGAAGTTTAGAGAGGTTAACTTTTCTGAGGTCACAAGGTGGCAAAGCCATGATTTAAACCTAAACGTTTAGTCTGGGGCTAGGGATGTAGCTCAAAGTAGAGTACTTGCCTACCTGGGTTGAATCCCCAGCACCACCCAAAGAACAACAAAACAAACCAGACAGTCTGGAGTCCCTGACTCCAGAAAGAGGGCATTTAATACTGTACAGTACAGTCCTGGTATAGATGCTATTTTGGACTGGGTGCAAAGAGGTGCAAGATGAGGCTGAGAAAAGTCATGAGGCCAGCCAGTTTAAATAGCTAAACATTTGTGTCTGCTGCCCTGTCCCTGCATAACTTTGATTTTTGATTTGCCTCTCCATTCCAGGTCTCCATTGCTGATGAGGCTGTGACTAAAAGCTTCCAATCCTTTACAGCCATCGGACCCTGCAGCCATAGCACATATTTCCATGACCTGCTTCTCCTTGCTTTTGGTCGGTCTCTGCACAGCCTCCAGGTCCCTGTACAACCTCCAGGCTGCCACCCTGGAGGTAAAAGGGATGCCTGGATCTTGATGTGTCTCATGATGTATCCAGCCTAGCTCCCCCTCCCACTTTTTCACGATGTTGACCAACTCCTCCCTGTTGGCCAACTGCTCTGCCAACGCCTCTTCTACCAACAGCTCTATTCCTCCGTGCCCTGACTATAGGGCCACCCATCGCCTGCACATGGTGGTCTACAGCTTGGTGCTGGCGGCCGGGCTCCCCCTTAATGCGCTGGCCATCTGGATCTTCTTGCGCGTTCTGCGCGTACACTCGGTGGTGAGTGTGTACATGTGCAATCTGGCAGCCAGCGACTTGCTTTTCACCCTCTCACTGCCCGTGCGCATCTCCTACTACGCACTGCACTACTGGCCCTTCCCCGACCTCCTGTGTCAGACGTCGGGCGCTATCTTCCAGATGAACATGTATGGCAGCTGCATCTTCTTGATGCTCATCAACTTGGACCGCTATGCAGCCATCGTGCACCCCCTGCGTCTACGTCATATGCGGCGGTCCCGCGTGGCGAGGCGGCTCTGTCTGGGTGTGTGGGCACTCATCTTGGTGTTTGCTGTGCCCGCCGCCCGCGTGCACAGGCCCTCGCCTTGCAGCTACCGGGGCATCGAGGTACGTCTGTGCTTCGAAAGCTTCAGTGATGAGCTATGGAAGGGCCGGCTGCTGCCCCTTGTGCTGCTGGCCGAGGCCCTGGGCTTTCTGTTGCCCCTGGCAGCCGTCCTCTATTCATCTGGGCGGGTCTTTTGGACTCTAGCGCGGCCGGACGCCACGCAGAGCCAACGGAGGCGGAAAACCGTGCGCCTTCTGCTGGCCAACCTCGTCATCTTCCTGCTGTGCTTCGTGCCCTACAACTCCACTCTGGCTGTCTATGGGCTGCTGCGGGGCAACCTGGTGGTGGCCAGCCAGGAGGCCCGCGATCAAGTGCGCGGGGTGTTGATGGTAATGGTGCTGCTGGCCGGCGCCAACTGCGTGCTGGACCCGCTGGTGTACTACTTCAGCGCCGAGGGTTTCCGTAACACCCTGCGTGGCCTGGGTACTCCACTCCAGGCCCGGACCTTGGCCACCAATGGGGATAGAGGAGCGAGTGCAGAAAGATCCTCAGAGGCCATCCACACCACTGGAGTGGATGCCACCAGTCAGGAGCTACTCCAGCCACCTAAACCCAGAATGCCCTTCACCGAGTGTCCCCAGGATTCCACCCTCTGAACGCATATCGCGCAATAGTGCAGTCTGGTACCTCTCTCATAGGCTTCTGGATCCATGTCCATGAGGGAGGTGCACTGAGCGCTTGGATTTCAGAGTGGAACTCCAGTTCTTGAATGCAGATGAGAACAAAGTGTGGAAACAAGGTCACAGGAAAGAAAGATTGTTACTAGCCATGGCTTCTTTAAGTTGGTGGTAGTAGGCAAAGGACTCTTTCTCCAATCGGTGGGAAGTGATGCAATGAACCTGACCACAGCTAAGAGCTGATAGATGGAAAGGAAAGTGGATACCCTGGATTTTGCCACAGGACCACAGGGCCAAGAGCTGAAGAGCCCCAAACCTTGGTAGATCAAGCTACTGAGAAGTTGGTGCCATCTGTTGAGTTCTGTGCTGATCTCAGGGCCATGGACACCACCATTCTCACTTCCACCTGGCCTCCTGCTACTTAGCAGGAAGCGTACAAGTGTTTATTTGATATGGAGAGAACTGGGTTCCTTATTATTGATTTCTAATGGTTTCAGCTAGGACACCCAACATGGGATGGTAGGGGCAGGCAAAACTGTGAATTAAATTGTGATACACACTGCCCCCCTCCCCAAAATCCTAGTTTTTGTCCCTTGTCTAGGTCATCGCTTCTCCTGCCATCGTTTTTAGGGCCTCCTCCTTTCTAGGTCCTTAATATCATCTCTGTCTTCCTGCTTTGTCAAAAGAAAGGAGAATAGTCTTTGTATTAAAGCATTGGTTCTCAAACTTCTTGGTCTCAGATCCCTTTACACTCATAGAAATTGAGGACCCCAAGAGCTTTTGCTTATTCTTTGTTGTTTTAATATTTACTGTAATGGGAATTAAAGCTAATAAGTTTTTAAAACAGAAATACACAAGCACATAATCTATTAGCCATGAGAGTGGTAACGTCATCACATTTCTTGAAGCCTCTGGAAAACTACATTGTATACTGGTGAAGAGAGTGAAAAACATAAATAATATCTTAGTAGTATTATGAAGATAATTTTGACTTCATGGACTTCCTCAAAGAACTGGTCCCTGGATCACACTTTGAGAACCATACTTGTACTAAGGTATTAGAGTTCACATTACCATCTTCCCAGGGCATTATATAATAGTTTTTTGTTTGTTTGTTTTGTTTTGTTTTTATGACTGTAAGGAGTGTGGTGCTCAACAAATTAATTGCTAATAATAGTGCTTAAGGCTTGGGGCTTCCTGGAGGCAGGCAGGAGTTTGTACACCAAATGGAATACCACCTTGGGCTTATAAAGGCAGCAGCCTTGGGGGGTCAGGGGTGGAATCAGACACACACACACTCCGGAGGAGAGGGTGAGACGTCTCTAGTGGTTAGAAAGGAACTGTGCCATAGCCAGGAGAGAACAGTATACAGGGAAGTAAGAGTGAGATGAGAGGACAGGAATAGCCCGACTGTTCTTAGCAAACTAAATGGTTTCCTTCCGTCTTGATCCAGGTAGGGGGCTGGGAGGGCTGCAGAGTTAGCACCTTGACATCTTTAGACCTTGGCAGTAAGAGTTGTTGCTATGTGTGTCCAGTATGCATTTCCATCCCTATGTCTCAGTACTGTATTTTTCTCTCCCTCTCTCTGTATGTGTGTGTGTGTGTGTGGGGGGGGGGAGTGTGTGTGAGACAGTGTTAGGGTTTTCCTGTATCTGTGTTTCGAGTTCAGAGTCAGTCTTTTGTGTGTCTTTATGTGAGCTCTCCAGTTGGTGATTTACAGGGGTAAAATGACCTCTGGTGGCCAAACCAGGTAACTGACCCAGATTTCTCAAGATAGCCTTGAAGTCCCAGCCTTCATCTGGGTAGAGGTTAGAGCCCAGGACCAGCTCCTTACCCAGTTGCTCTTAAGGCTTGTTTGTTAGCATCCACCCCATCTGGCTTCACCTTCAGAATTCCAGACCTGTTTGTGCCTGTCCTGATCTGAAGGCACAAGCCTCACCAAATCTCTTAGTCCAACTCTGAGAACTTTAACACAAACTGAACTGAACACAATTTAAAAAAATAAAATGAAGGGGCGAGGTGCAGTGGTGCACACCTGTAATTCCAGTGGCTAGGAGGCTGAGGCAGGAGGATCACAAGTTCAAAGCCAGCCTCAGCAACTTAGTGAGGCCCTAAGCAACTTAGTGAGACCCTGTCTCTAAATAAAATATTTTTTTAAAGGGTGGGATGTGGCTCTGTGGTTAAGTGCCCCTGGGCTCTATCCCTGATACCCTCCCCCAAAAAACAATAATAATAATTTGAAAGGGAAGAGGGCATACTTAACATTCACAAGGCCCTGAGTTTGGTTCCTTGTAATACACAACTAAATGAATGAACAAATAAAAATTTTAAAAATACTTGAGTACTTTTATATGCAGGTACATGAGTGAATTCTAAAGTAATTAAAACACATATATAATCTGCTTATTTATTTTTCCTAATTTTTATGTTTATTGGATGTCTCCTTCCTAGATAGAATGTAAGCTCCATGGGGGCAGGCTTTGGTTCTCTTATATATTCACTAACATCTAAAATAGGGCCTGGCACAGGAGAAGTGCTCAATAAATATTTGTTGAATGGATGAACAGTCAGATCTTGTTGTGAAGTATTTTACTACTTAGTGGGGAATACAGAACAATAACTATAATGCAAGATAGAAGATGCAGGAATACAGGGCAAAGTGTTGGCAATTTATTTAGAACCCTGAAGGTTCTCAGGTTTGGCTCACATGGACATATTGTGTAAGATAGCCTATAGGGAAATGAAGTGAAGGAGAATCCAAGGAAAAGAGCGATTTGGGACCTACTACAATAGTTGGGAAGAAGTGTGGTTATGGTTTGTGGAAGAATTCTCACCAGGCTATCACTTCCAGATGGAAATGGGTTGTTTGCAGTGTGACATGTCTGGTGTTAAAGTCCTGGCGGACTGTTAAAGGCCCATCCAAAGGGTTTCTACCATGAGAACACAGAAAAATAGATTAAGGAGCTATTGCAGACAGAGGGGAATGAATAGAACCTAACACATTAACAGGCTGTGGAAGTTTAAGAAAACTTGTAGCTAGGCATGGTGGCACTTGCCTGTAATACCAGCAACTCAGGAGATTGAGAAGTAGAAGAATCCCCAATTCACGGCCAGCCTCAGCAACTTAGCAAGATCCTTCTCAAAATAAAAAATAAAAAAGGCTAGGGATATGGCTCAGTGTTTAAGCACCCCTGATTCAATCCCTGATACCAAAGGGAAACAAAACAAAACCAAAAAACTTGTAGCCACTGGCACTTTCACAGGATTCCCAATTATTTTGTAAGTAATAAGATGGAGTCAAGATGTGGGAAATCTAGAGCACACACCCATACTTTGGGGCTGTCCCATTTAAGGTCTAGAAAAATCCAAAGAGGAGGAAGAGAAAAAGCAAGAGTGTTACAGGTTTTTAAAATATTCTCATGGCCAGCCAGGTGCTGTGGCACATGCCTGTAATCCCAGTGGCTTCAGAGGCTGAGGCAGAAGGAGGATCACTTGAACCCAGGAGTTTGGAGCCAGCCTGAGCAACATAATGACATCGTGAGACCTTGTCTCCAAAAATTTATATTATGCTAAGCGAAGTAAGCCAATCCCAGAAAACTAAAGGCTGAATGTTTTATCTGATTGGTGGATGCTGATCTATAATACGGGGATAGGAGGAGTGGAGGAACTTTGGATTGGGCAAAGGGAAGGGTGGGGAGAGGTTATGAAGATAGGAAAGATGGTGGAATGAGATGGACATTATTATCCTAGGTACATGTATGATTGCATGAATGGTGCATCTCTATACCGTGTACAACCAGAGAATTGAAATGTTGCACTCCATTTGTGTACAATGAATTGAAATGTCAGGATGATGATTATCCTTACTGTACAGATGAAACAACAAAACACTGGGGAGAATTTGAAGTCTTAAGGTTACACAATCTGGAAATGGCTGACTCTCTATTTGGCTCCTAAACTCCTACTCCTTGCAGCACATCCTGTTCCCCTTTCCTCTCCAACCCTGGCTCTATTACATGCATCCTTGGTATCCTTGCCTCTCTTCACCTGATAAAAGTCATCTCTCTCAATTGTTTTTCTCACCTCGAATCTGTGGTGTCATCTTTGTCCTGATCTTCCTCCATGTTCCCTGTGCACATTGCCCTTCCCTTTACACAATCCTCAGTACCCTCAGGACACAGTGCAACTGGGTAAGGTCTAAGAACCAGGCTCACCCACGGTATCAATTGTGTTAGGTCCTAAACACACCATATCGAGGACCCGGGAAGGAATAGCCTGTCCATGACACACACAGTCAGGACAGTTTAGACTTAATGCGGTGGGTATGACTCCCTCCCCAGGCCTGGGATTAAAAAAAGCAGCACTTTTTTTTTTTTTGGGGGGGGGACTGGGGATTGAACCCAGAGGCACTTAACTACTGAGCAACATCTCCAGTCCCTTTTTATTCTTATTTTGAGACAGTGTCTCTCTAAGTTGCTTAGTCTCACTAAATTGCTGAGACTGGCTTTGAACTTGCGATGCTCCTGTCTCAGTCTCTGGAGCTGCTGATATTATAGGTATAAGCCACCTGGTCTGGCATACAGCAGCACTGTTAATTGTTCATCAACTCAACGGAGAAGGATACCATCTCTTGGTTCTCAAAACCTCCTCTATAGGATGATGCCTTCGCATGGTGATTCTAGTTGGGGGAGAGTATCAATCAATGGTCTGGCAATACAACAAAGTCAGGAGAATCAGGACAGAGGTAAGGATTCTACAGGAAGGCAGAGATGCTACATTCTTGGTCTTGACCATCTTAAGGAGAATCCTTATGATCTTGCTTGCCTTCTGGGATCCCAAGTAAGAAATGGGGAAGGGAAGGTAAATCTCACACCAGACATTCCTTCTCTATTCTTTCAGGAGGCCCTGGAGACAAAGAGAGGCTGGAGGTAATTCTCATCAGAGGACCTGAAAGAACTGGAAAGTGAAGTTTCTCACACTCGGTTTGGGGAAAACCAAAGACTCTCAGAACCTTGGAATCAAACAAACCTGGATACTGATTTCAGCTTTGTCATTTCTTGGCAATGTATCTTTGGTCAATTAACCTCTCTGAGCCTCTGTTCAATGGAGCTCATAATATCTGCTTTTTGGGTGGTGGTGAGGGTCAATGAGATGAAGGACCTTTGAAAGGCATTTTAGAAGCTTCATAAATGGGAGCTGTCTTTCAAATAAGAGTATGGAGCTCAGATGCTGCTTGTGATGCCCTTGCTTCTGGAAGCAGCAAGGGTTCCAGGTGAATCGTCACCAGACAGAGCCCTGCCAGCAATCAGAGCTAGGGCCAAGGGAACTGGAGAGGAGGCAGGCTGGGCACGTTTCCATGGTGCTGGGTCAAGCAGGCAGTCTTCAGGGGCAGTGACTGGTCCATTGCCCTCTGGGGGCACTCTCTCCCCATGAGGCTGATGTCCATCCCACAAACTAAGGAATAGGTGGAGAAGCGCATGAAAGGAAGAGGAGGGGGATAGGACGAAGACCCAGGATTTGGAGAAAGGGCGAGTCAGGAGGCTGGAGGGCCATGCAGGCACAGGGTGGGGCCAGGAGAGGGGCCCAGGGCAGGAGGGCGGGAGACAGCCTGGGAGGGAAAGCGCCGACCTAGGGAGGGAGGAGGGACAGGGAGGGAGACCGGCGGCGCTGACACAGCCTCGATATGTGGAACGGGCTGGGGTTTGGCCCACAGGTCAGGCGTCTGGCAGTATTATGGGATGCAGAGGCCTTAGGAGACAGGGAGAGTATTATGGGCTGGAACAGCCTTAGGAGACTGGGGAATATTATGGGCTGGTGAGGCCCGGCTCCAACTGGAGGCGGGAGGAAGGGGTGCGGGGCGGGAAGGGGGGGTGGTGGTGGAAAGGAGTATTATGGGCTGGAGGCCTCCTGCGACCAGAGGCAAGAGTATTATGGGCTGGCAAGGCCTTCGGTGGCCAGAGGGGGGAGCAGCGGGGGATGGCACCGGCTGCATGTGACTGAGGGGGGGCCAAGTTGGGGGGGTGGTGAGTGGGGGTGGGGGAGCTTATTATGGGATAGCTCTTTGTACCTACTGCGGGGACTGCTTCTCCAGAAGATATTATGGGATGTCGTGTGTGGGAGGGGGAGTGGGGCTGGGGGGATTATTATGGGATGGTGGTGCAGAATGGGGAGGGCTTGAGGAGCTCTTCTCCAGCCCCCCTTACCCCTTAGTCTCTCACCATCTTAAGGTCAGCCTCCTACCTCCAAAAGCCCATGAGGAACACCTGAAATCCATCTCCCTACACACACACTTTGGGCACCTCAACCCATCCTAGGCATCTTCTCTAACTAGCAGCCACCTCCCTCCAGAGTGCGGAGGAAAAAAGGTAGCCCCTGAGGAATGGAATAGAGACTCATAGCAGGGTCGTGATGGTCAGTGACTTCCAACTCCCACCTGCACAACGTCATCTTTTGCTTCCTAACCCCTTATGCCACTCTTTCCCCTCTCCCTCTCTCCCACAAAGTGGGGGCCCTTCATCCTCTTCCCCTCCCCCCTCCCCTCCATTTCCTCTCCAGCTCCCTCCACAGCCGTAACCAGTAAAACAGGCGGCCAACTATTATGGGATGGCTGCTCCCAGCAGCTCTGCAGGGAGGGGGCGGTCACCGCGGAATGTCTCTTGTGGGTGGCTATTATGGGATGGCCGCCTCTCTTTTTTTTTGGGGGGGGTAGGGGGCTACTGAGGAGGATTATTATGGGATGTGCCCAGCACAGCTGGGTGGGGCTGTCCTAGGTAGGTAAAGCTCTTGGGAGGGGGGATGGTAAAGGAAAGGAAGGAAGAGGGAGGGAAGGAGCAGGGAGGGTGGGGTGAGCCCTGGAGCCAGACCTGAGGCCTGGCAGGAGTAACTGGCTGGAGAAGTTTCTTTGGTGACAGCTGATTGAAGGGGCCCCTGGGGCGAGCTGCACCTAGCCAAATCTGAACCCTGGACACCTGAGTTCTTCCCCCAGTTTGTGAGCTACAGGAATACCAAGTCCAGGGTCAGAAGTGAGAACTCCCAGGTCCTGGCTGGGTGCACACCAAAGAGTAGTGTTTCTGGTGACCACAGTACTCAGCTACTCTATTCCATCTTCCTCTTCCTGGGTTTGAACCTTGGGACCATAGCTCGCAGAAGAGGGGTCCAGCACTGGAATGCAGTCACACCCAAAGAACAGAGGCTGGCTTGGCTCCTGACAGACAAAAGTCATTCCTTATGCCCTGAATGGTCTGCATCATGTCTAGCCATCACAGTGCATTGTCACTATGGCCTTTCTTCCCTCTGTTGTTTTCCCAAATTGTCTTTCCTGACAGAGCAGAACACTGTGGCCCCTTGGACCCGATGAGCAGTTTTTCAGGTTTACAGAGAACAGAGGTGTAAGAAGAGGCATTATAGAGTGCATGTTGAAAACTCCAGGACAACCCCCTCCCACCGAGTGTTAGTCTAAGTTCATCAGTACCATGGGATGGAAACAGAACTCTAAGGTAACTGGATAGAGAGGTTGCCCCCCTGGGTGCCTTAATTAGAAGATTATGCCACCCTTAGTCTCCATGGGCCAATCATGCTAGTGGCTCTAATGGTTTATTTATAATTTGTCTGGGAGGGTAGCATGGGGCCAGAGTAAGGAGCAGGAGGCACAGAAGCATAAAGACCACAAAAGCAACACACAAACATACATCTTGACCCTCTCTAGAGCTCAAGGAGAGAGGCAGGGACTTAACTTTTTCCTTGTGGTGTTATCAGGGAGAGGCAGGAAGTAGGAGAAGCAAGTGAATGTGTGAGTAGAACTGCAGGGATAGAGTCAGAGGGAGTGTGGTGGACAGAGGGTATAAGTATTTTGAGCCACAGTCAAAAGGCTGTGACTAAGTACTTATAAACTCTCTGACTGGTTCATATTCATCATTTACCGTGATAATGTGGTGTGTGTATATGTATATTCATATATATACACACATACATATATACATATATATATATACATATATATATATATGTATGTATATGTATATGTATATGGAAGGATCTGGGGCAAATGGGGATACTTCAGAAGGGAATTTGAGGCCCAGAGACAGGCTGAATTCCCTAGAGAAATGGGGATAGAAGAAGAAGGCCTTACAAGTATCTGGCAACTGTAGAAAGGAGAAACTTCCTGGAAAAGAGGTATACCCACATTATGTTATCTTAAAAACAGCTGCCACCTCCCTGACATGGACCACAAATTTCATCAGAATGACCAAGGGGAAGGTTTGGATAAGTGAATGGGACCCCATCTTTTTATTTTATTTTATTTTTGGCAGAACTGGGGGTTGAACCCAGGGGTGCTCTACTCTACCACTGAGCTACATCCATAACTCTTCTTTATTTTTGAGTCAGGATCTCCCTAAGTTGCCTAGACTGAGCCTCCTGCCTCTACCTTCCCTCCCAAGTAGCTATGATTACAGGTGTGCATCACTGCACCTGGTGAATGGGGCCCAATTTTGATATCAAGAGAATTGAATGAGGGAGACTATGGAAGCCTGCAGAATGGGGGAAATGGCTAGCATACCACAATGAACACAGCAAAAGGATGGTCCAGGGAGATGAAGTGAATATTGGAAAAAGAAAACATGAACTTCAAAGGTGACAATGGGAGCTTTTGGCCAGGCTTGAGGTTTTTGATGCTGAAAAATCTAGTTTCAATGCTGGTGGTTACATAGAGTCAGGCAGAAGCTAGTGAGAAGACTTGTTAGTATTACTGGGACCCTGCTTGGGTGCAAGGGACTGTTGTTTCCCAGCTTTCTTCACTCTCTTGAACTCAGTTTTCTTTGCCAGTTTGCTAGTCCCTTGGATCCCAGAAAGGGGAGAGTCATCTGGCCAGTCCCTTTCTCTAGGGAAGTGAGACAAACAGTGCAATGCAGAGATTGTGTGGTCCTTCCTATTTACTTCTGATCAGGAAGGGGCCTTCCTACAAGGACATTTCAGTTTCTTTTCAACCTGTCCTATTTCTATAGGTCTTGAGACTGTATGAAAAAGGTAGCTGGAAGAAAGGTGCATTTAGGGTTGGAGATGGTATATGTTGGAAGGCCTCCTCTTGGTATAACTGAGTAAGGAAGTCTTCCTGAAATGTTGACCAGTACATGTGCAGGAGAAAATGGTGAGCATTACACCACTAAGGTTTTAGTTTTTGTTGTTTTAAGATGGACAAGAGGGCCTAAAACAGGATGAGGATGAGGGCAGTTGGAGGTATTATGAGAATTCAGGTTATGAAATGGGAAACTGAAAAATATGGGATATTGAGGGGGAGCAGAATTTGGTGTTCAAGAATGAGGGTAGTAGCTGGGTGCAGTGGCACATGACTGTAATCCCAGCACTCAGGAGGCTGAGGCAGAAAGATCAAGAGTTCAAAGCCAACCTCAGCAAAAGTGAGGTGCTAAGCAACTCAGTGAGACCCTGTCTCTAAATAAAATATAAAATAAGGCTGGGGATGTGGCTCAGTGGTTGAAGTCTCTTGAGCTAAATCCTCAGCACCCCCCCCCCCCCAAAAAAAAAAAAAAGAAAAAGAAAAAGAGAGCGGGTAAAGAATGAAGGAATAGCAACAACAAAGAATTAAAAAAAAAAAAAAGAAAAAGAATGAGGATAACAATTGTGGCATATTTCTGAGTCAAGAAGGAAGGTTATGATGATATTTCAGTATTAGGAATACTGGATTGATGAACATGGCTTGCCAATAAAAATCCCTTAGAATGTAGGAAACCAGAGATTATTTTGACCTGACATTTATTCCTGTAAATCCTTTTGGAATACTTACCAGCATCTAGAAGGACTACTAAGAACCCTACTGGGATGTGATCTCTCCTGAGACAAGTTAGGATTTCTTTTATTCTCTGTGACAGGACATTGGGAAATGACACTCAGTAGTTCTCCCTTGTCATCAGACATTCTATCATGCATCATAGTTTTCTAGGTTGTTTATGCTTCCTGAAGGGAGGCACCAGTGTTTTCTTTGCATTCTCCACAGTGCCCAGCTCTGTGCTTTGCTAGGTACTCTGTCAACATGTGTTGAAATGAACGTGAGCAGTGGCAAGTAGAGGAAGAGCAGGGTTGAGCTCCTGATGTGCATATAACAGGATCCTCAGTTAAGGTCATGATGGGATAGCCATCCTAAGAGTAGCCTGGAGGTGTTGATGAACGGTTCCCGACTTGAGGGAGGGTGTGGGACTACTGGGGAGAGGACTATTGGAATGTTGAGAAATAGTCTTTGGATGGAAGTTTGTAATTATTATGGGATGCTCTGGGATAATTTAAACTTTATGCAAATGTTTCATCTGGTTAACATGGTATTTGGTTGGTCTTACTCAAAATTTAAGAGCATCTGGAATATACCTGGATTTTGGTGGGATTGAGTGGTACCCAGGTCTCAGCTCCTGAGTGTCTGGAAATGATGAAATGATGGAACCTAGCATCCTGGACTTCAAGAAACTTTAGGCCAGGATACTGCTTTGGCCCAGAAAGGAATATTAGGTGTGTCCAAGTGGGGGCAGGGACAGGGCAGTGTGGGTCGCCTGCCCCACCCTGTCTGTTCTGGGTGTTGGAACAGACAGCTTCTGGAGATGGGGGAGGTATGAATATGAATATTATGGGATGCCTGACTGGAAGGCTGCTAGAGTGGAGATAAAATATTATGGGATGTGACACTGGGTTGTGCTGGATGTAGTACAGTATATGTCTGGTTGACTATGGGCTCCTTGAAATTATGGGATTTCAGGGTGTGGATGATAGAGTAAAATTATTATGGGATATTTTTCCAGTGTTTAGGGGTAAGAAGATTTAGGTGTCCATCTGTGGGATGACTATAGGACTACTGTAGGGGTTATCTCTTTGATAGGGAAGGAGTGGTTATTATGGGCCATGGAGCTAGAAGGAAAAGCTGAGGGTAGTGTTGTGAGCATCTAGACCCTAGCCTGCAGGAATAGAGGGCAGTTCTAGGGGGGTGGTTATTATGGGATGTAAGTACAGAAAGTGGGAGACTGATTATTACTGGATGTGTGTGGGAGGAGGCCGAGTGTCCGTTGTTGTAGTATGTGTGTGCGTGTGTGTGTGTGTGTGTGTGTGTGTGTGTGTGGGGGGTGAGTTTCTGACTATTATGGGATATCAAACTGGGGGTGGATGAAGGGTGGTTATTATGGGATGTCTGTGGGGGATGGGATGAGTATTATGGGATATGAGGCTCAAGTGCTGGGAGGGGTGCTTATTATGGGATGGCCGGGGGAGGGAGGGGTGACGAATTATTATGGGATGTTAGCATTAGGGCCAAGAGTGAAGAAGTTGGCAGAGGATGGTTATTATGGGATGTCAGGGGTGGAGAGGTTAGGTGCCAAAGGTCTGCAATATTATGGTAGCAGCCCCCCTAGCATACATGTGTGTGGAATGGGGGGCGCTGGGAGTGTGTATGTGGGGTGTCCGTGTGTATTATGGGATGGCCAGGAGGTGGGCGGTTGCCCGGGTGACACGCGCGCGCGCGCTCGGAGGGGGCGTGGCCAATGGTTGCCTGAGCGACGAGGGGGCGGGGGTTGCCCGGGAGACCTAGGGAGGAGGGTGGCGGTAGTGGAGGGGGGGTTGGAGTTGGTTGAGGTTATTATGGGCTGTCCGTGGGGGGGCGGGGCCTGTGCGGTGGGATTTCCCGGCCGGTGTTTCGGGCCCTTTAAGAGGCGACGCCGGAGCCGGAGCCATTTTCCCCCCTTCGGCCGCTGCGAGGAGGAGCCGGAGCGGGAGTGACACCGGGCCGGACCCAGGCGACCTGCTGCGGCTCTGGGGTGAGGCGAGCGTGGGGTTCCCAGAGAGACGCCCCTCACAGTTCGGCAAGCCCCGAGGGTCATTCCTTCACCTGTCCAGTCTTCAGGCGTCCTCTGACCCGTGGACCGTCCCTTGCCCGGAGGAGCGGACCCTTCCTTTTCCTTCCCTGCAGGGTGCCCGGCCTCCTTCCTAGCCCCCGCCTTACCCCTGCCCGAGTCTTGCTCCCCGCGACCCCCACCTCGGCCTTAGTGTCCCACAATACCTGGCGCCCGCCCCCTCGCCCTTTGCTCAATTGCCCCCCGGGACACGTGGCCCAGCCCCCTTCCCCAGTGGGAGCTCTCTTGCCCCCGCGTCCCTGTCTCGGGACCCCCGGAGTGCCCGAGCCTCCACGCCCCCTGGTCTCCGCGGTTCCGGACGAGAACCTGAGTTGTCCCGGAGGACAGCCTTTGGAGAGCTGCCCTGTCTGGGGACTGGCCCCTCCCCGGGCGCAGGGAGGCGCCCCCCCACCCCCAAGTGACCTTGTGTCCCCGAGCGCCTTGCTGCCTGCCGCCTCCCCTGGCCCTCCCGGGCCGCGGCCACTCGGACCCCCTCCCCCGTCACACCCTGTTCGGTCCAGCCCAGTTTCTCCTCCCCACGCCTGCACTAGCCTGCCCTCGGGACCCTAGCTCCCTCTCTTCGTGGGGGCTCCTTTTGGGGAGCTGGCTTCCGGGCTGCCCCCGAGGAGTGTGGAACTAAGTTCAGCCTGAGTGGTTCGGGTGCCCTGCTAGGGTGACTGGGGTGGGGGGCGGAAAGAGCGGGTGGGTGTGGGGGAGGGGGACAGTGCGCGTCACTGACTGTTCTCTTTCTCTCCCCCCTCCCCCGCACAGTGACTCGGGCCAGTGTAGAGGGCCCCAGGCCGCAGGCAGGAGCAGCTGGGCCAATTCCCTGGCCGGGAGCGGAAGGGGATGGCGTCGGGCCTGGGCTCCCCGTCCCCCTGCTCAGCGGGCAGTGAGGAGGAGGATATGGATGCACTTTTGAACAACAGTCTGCCCCCACCCCACCCAGGTAACATCTTTCCCAAGGGCCCGGGGCAGGAAGGAGGTATTGGGCTCTCCCTAGTGACTTGATATGAGGGAGGGTTGTGTTGCTTGCCCAGCTCTGTGCAGAGCCGGAGGTGGAGGGCATCCTAAGGGAGTGGTTCCCTTCTGCGGAGCTCTTGTGGGAGGGGGGTGGAAGCCATGTGCCTCCTGGGCACCGCGGACCCAGATGCAAGCTGGCTGCACTGGTCTGTCTTCAGGAATGCTCTACAGTTCCTATTTGAGGGAGCTCTCTAGGCCGGCAAGCATTACCTAGAGCGGGTCCTAGGAGGATCCCAGGTAGTTCGAACCCTTGGAGGCTATTTGGGGGTGGTAGGGGAGTTTAGGATTTCTGTTGGAGGAGCCCAGCCTGGCATCCATGCTAGTTGGATCCTGTGGTTGCTGCAGTGTGGAAAGGAAAGAGTACTGGTTACTCTCTATCTGATTATTTTTAGCTTCTGATCAGTTACCGATTTTCTGTGCAGTTTCAACTGTGTGAAGTTTGAATCGCGCTCCTTAGCGGATCTAGAGCGCTTTTAGGCAGGCAGATTGCTGGAACCTTTTGAGTGGGGAAGTGATGGGGGCTAAGGGAGATTGTAATATAATAGCCTAGTAAGGCTGGGTAGAAGAAGGGAGAGCACCCCCTCTTTCCCTGGTGAGTGGACATAATTCTGGCTTCTTTTCCTGGAGGCTTCTTTCTGCCTCTGTGTGCCTTTGGTTTGGGTTGGTGGTGTGATGGGTTTGTGTAGGTGTGTTAAGGATTGTGATAGGTTTTGGGGTGGCTCTGAGGACTGGCCAAACCCGTATGGTTGTAACCATCCTGTCTGATTGGAGTAGCCCTGTATGTCCTCAAATGATGGTTGATGTCATACTTGCAAGTGAATGTCTCTCTCTGGCTTCTTTCCTTACTCAGAGCCCCTTAGCTAACTCACCAAGTCTCCTATTTGTTTCCTTGACCTTTTTCTTCCTAGTTGCTAGCTTTTTTTTTTAAATTTTTTTTTTTTATATATGCCATATTTTAATCCTCTCTGTTGCTACTTTTCTTATCATTCTGGAGCCTGCTGGTCCTGTTTTTGTTTCTCATCAAATGTCTTTCACTTCTGCCTTCTCTCTTAGCTCCTGTTGGAAGTTGAGGTGGTCTGGGAGAAATGCTTTCACATTTGACTTTTTCTAACTTGGAATTTTTCATTTCAACCTGAGACCATTTAAGAGAGCCATCAGTCTTGATGCTGAGCCTTCAGCTGTTGGGATAAGGAACTTAGTCTTGTCTCATCACTCACTGTCAGGGGTAGGGTGGCAGATTTCTGTGCCCTAACCTGAGGTGGAGTCAGGGTGGTCGTGGTGGTGGTAAGGGGAAGGCTTACTTTCCTATTATTCTTTCTGTGAGGGGCATTAGAATTAGTTGTGCTATCCAGCCAATGTTGGTTCCCCATCTTGGCCTCCCATTAACCTCTTGATTTGGGGTTGTCCCCCTACCCTCTTGTTGACTGGGAGCTATGCTAGCTCCAAGCTATAGCATGACCCAGTTTTTTCCATTTCCTACACCCATTCCTGCCCCTTTTCCAAATCTTCCTCTATATCTCAGCTAATTTGCTGCTTACCATATCAGGACATTATTTTTCTGAGAGGTTGTATGTGAGTGAAAGGTGTCCCTCTTTACCTCCATGGGTTTGTCCTTGTCTCTGCTTCTAGCTTTTATGGAGATGAAGAGGAAGATCTGATTGGAGGATGGCATGGGGATTACTAGGAAGAAGCCCTTATGATTCTTTCTGGTGAGATCCAGGCTGGTGTTCCATTCCCAAGGGAATGGGAGGGGCTTTCTTGTGCCTGGCCTGATCCTGGGCTAAGTGAGAAGGGGGAGGCTGATGGTGCTTTGTCCAGCATAATGTCTCATGTTCCCTAAATCTGTGTAGCCCAGGAAGGGTAGAGCTAGAGGCATTTTAGGGATAGCTCTTGGGGTCAGGAGCTAAGAGTATGTGTGGAACTGAAGGAAACATCATTTTCCATCATTATCTAGGTACTGTTACTTTTTGGTGTGGATGTGATTTCCATATGTTGGAAAGGACTTTTATGAATGGAGGTGATGAAACCAAGCCTAGAGATTTCTTGTGGGCTCCCAGTCCTCAAGATAATTCTTTTGGGTATCTTCAATTTGGGGAGAAGGCTGTATGCTCTGAACATAGCTCCACTGAACTTTTGTTAAATCTTAGTACTGATGATTTGAAAAAGTAATCGTTATTGAGGGAGTAACATAGTCCCTGATGTAGTATTACCCTTCACATTTGTCTTGGTTTCCTTGCCGAGGAATTAGGTGACCTCTTGTGAACTGTGTCATCCCAGAGTAAGTGTTAGAGAGACATTGGTGGCATTTGGACCTGGGGCCAGGTAATAATTTGGCATCTTCTATAAGGGCTGTCTTTCCCCGGCTACCTCTGTCAACCCCGCCCCCCTCCCTGCCACTTCCTGTCTGTCCTATGTTGGCAGCTGGGTGCCCTGGGCTGGCTTCTGCGGTCAGGAGCCATTTTCCCTCTCCTCAGTGGGTGAGGCACTCCCTTCTTCTCTCCACTCCCTTCTCCACACCCCCTCCCCTTGGGCGGGGGTGGCTTGGGAAGAGGGAGAGAGAAGAGGGAGGAGGGAGCTGGTGTGCTGGTGTGAATGTCTGTTACAAAGGAAGCTGCCTTGTGGCCTTTTCCTCCCCCTCTGTGCCCCTTCCCACCTATCCCTGCCCAGGAGCTCTCAGTGTTACCCTGGGCTTTGTGTGTGCTTCCAGCCAGGGGAGGAGGTGGAGCCAGATGGGAGGAGGATTGGGAGGGAGGGAGATGGTGACAGCTGGGCTGATTTGGGCCCCTAGGGAGAAGAGACTCCTGACCCAAGAGAAGCTGGGAAGGAACCATAGGCTGGATGGGGAAAGGAAATTGTGTTTGGGAGTGGGTTTGAGGTTGAGCTGGCAAGTGAACCTAGAGCTTGGAGGTTCTGATTGTTTTGAGCAGTGATGACCCCAAAGGGGTTAGAAAAAGGTGTTGTTTCTGGGATCCCCGAACCTGGCATTGTTCTGGTAACAGGGTGAGGATATATTCTGTGATTGTTGCCTTCTGGGCAGGACCTTCCATTCTCATCCTCTGGATTATAGGCTTGTTGGTGGACAGTTGCAGGAGGCCTGGATCTAGTTCTCTTACTTGGTGAATGTTAGGCTGCTTGATTCAGCTATGCTGGCTGCTGAACATCTAGAGGGCTGTTGGAGGAGTGGGGAGAGGAGGTAGGGGCCTGGACAGCTGCCCGAGGTGGGCCTGGTCTGGCCTGGCAGGCCTATTTCGGGTATATACAGCTCTCTTTGTCTGTTTTTGTCCTGGGTATCAGCTTCCTTCTGTAGAGAGTATAGCAGTTCTCTTCAGAGGAATCTGGGACAAGAGGTGGGGAATAAAATCTAAGCCCTCAGGATTAGGCCCTAACCTTTTGCTATTGATCTTTTCCCTGCTGACCACTCTTTGGCAAAATGTAGAAAATGAAGAGGACCCAGAGGAGGATTTGTCAGAAGCAGAGACTCCAAAGCTCAAGAAGAAGAAAAAGCCTAAGAAACCTCGGGACCCTAAAATCCCTAAGAGCAAGCGCCAAAAAAAGGAGGTGAGTGGGTGACTGTTATGGGGAATGAGAGGAAGAAGGGAGGAGCTCTGAGAAGGGCTAAAGGGCGGAGGGCGTTTATTTCTTTCTCTGGAGTGGTGGACCAGGTCCTGGGGATGAGCCTTATTAGGGCTGTCCTGAGGTCAGCATGTGTGTAGCATGTGTGTGTCTGTCTCCCTTTCCCCCCCTTCCCTGCTCCAGCGTTTGCTCTTATGCCGGCAGCTGGGGGACAGCTCTGGGGAGGGCCCAGAGTTTGTGGAGGAGGAGGAAGAGGTGGCTCTGCGATCAGACAGTGAGGGCAGCGACTATACCCCTGGCAAGAAGAAGAAGAAGAAGCTTGGACCTAAGAAAGAGAAAAAGAGCAAATCCAAGCGGAAGGAAGAGGAGGAGGAGGATGATGACGATGATGATTCAAAGGTGCCTGGACTTCCATTCTGTTTTCTGTACTGTTATCTTCAGTCATTGGTTTCAGAGACACTCTGTTGCCTCTTAGAGTATTTTCTTTCCACCTCTTTCTAATCATTTTCTCTTGGCTCTCTTACCCTGGTCTTGCAAGCTATAGTTTCAGCTCTAATTCCCTTAGCAAATGTGGGCATTAGGTGGCAGACCCTTTGCTATTCTCTCTCTACAGGAGCCTAAGTCTTCTGCTCAGCTCCTGGAAGATTGGGGCATGGAAGACATTGACCATGTGTTTTCAGAGGAGGATTATCGCACCCTCACCAACTACAAGGCTTTCAGCCAGTTTGTCCGGTAAGCCAGGAGGGTCTTGGGGGTGGGGGAAGAGAGTCATTTTATAATCTCTTCCTGCCTATCTTTCTTATTCTTAAATATTTTTTTCTCTGTCGTCCATTTCTCCACCAGACCCCTCATTGCTGCCAAAAACCCCAAGATTGCTGTTTCCAAGATGATGATGGTTTTGGGTGCAAAGTGGCGGGAGTTCAGTACCAACAATCCCTTCAAAGGCAGTTCTGGGGCCTCAGTGGCAGCAGCAGCAGCAGCAGCTGTGGCTGTGGTGGAGAGCATGGTGACAGCCACTGAGGTTGCACCACCACCTCCCCCTGTGGAGGTGCCTATTCGCAAGGCCAAGACCAAGGAGGGCAAAGGTGAAATGTAGTGCTGTGGGAGGGAGGAGCTAGTGTGGGTTTAGGAAGTCAAAGACAGAGAAAGCTTGGGAATGCTGTTATGTTAGCCCTAAGGTAGGAGACAGGAGGGAGGAATTAGTCTTGGATTTAGGAGGGAAATTTGGGAGGCTGGACATGTTGAAGTAAACTTAAATGAAAATTTTATTTTCCCCATAATATAATTTGCCCTATGAGATATATTTAGGTCTATCCTGATTTTAGGTCCCAATGCTCGGAGGAAGCCCAAGGGCAGCCCTCGTGTACCTGATGCAAAGAAGCCTAAACCCAAGAAAGTAGCTCCCCTGAAGATCAAGCTCGGGGGTTTTGGTTCCAAGCGTAAGAGATCCTCGGTGAGAACCTGGACCATCCCTTTGGGCGGGAAGAGCTGTGTGTAATAGAAAAGATATTACTCTGTGTTCGTCTTTTCCATAGAGTAGGAACATAAGAATGTGGGGAGTTGGCCTCAGGCAGACTCTTCACATAGTCCTTGCTGGGATTCTGGTATTCCCAGTAATGGCAGTGAGGCTCTCTCCACCACTCTTTCCCCTTGGCTTGAACTTTTAACCTTATTCCTTTTGGTTCTGCCAGAGTGAGGATGACGACTTAGATGTGGAATCTGACTTCGATGATGCCAGTATCAATAGCTATTCTGTTTCCGATGGTTCCACCAGCCGCAGCAGCCGTAGCCGCAAGAAACTCCGAACCACTAAAAAGAAAAAGAAAGGTGTGTTTCTTTTCTGTTTTATGTGGGTGATAGGATGAGGTGGAATGGTTGGGAAAAAGAATCTCCCTTAGGAGATAGGGGTTGGGGGGGGGGGAGGTAGTTTTTTTCTAATAACTGGGCTTTCCCTCTTCCTTGCCCAGGCGAGGAGGAGGTGACTGCTGTGGATGGTTATGAGACAGACCACCAGGACTATTGCGAGGTGTGCCAGCAAGGCGGTGAGATCATCCTGTGTGATACCTGTCCCCGAGCCTACCACATGGTGTGCCTGGATCCGGATATGGAGAAGGCCCCCGAGGGCAAGTGGAGCTGCCCACACTGCGTGAGTACCTGACCACTGTGGCTCCTGGGCTCCCACAAGGGGAATGGTAGGAAGATAAAGCTCCTTTGGGCCTGGGTGGAAATAGAAATGATGGTGGTTTGGTTGTGAGCTTTGGGAAGCATCCAGAGGAACCATGGGCCGTGAATTCTGACTTCAGGGGTGGTGGGGTGGGGAGGTAATAATCTGAATCTGTATCTTTTACTGCAGGAGAAAGAAGGCATCCAGTGGGAGGCTAAAGAAGACAATTCAGAGGGTGAGGAGATACTAGAAGAGGTTGGGGGAGATCCTGAAGAGGAGGATGATCACCATATGGAATTCTGTCGTGTCTGCAAGGATGGGGGGGAGCTGCTGTGCTGTGACACCTGCCCTTCTTCTTACCACATCCACTGCCTGAACCCTCCACTGCCAGAGATCCCCAATGGTGAATGGCTGTGTCCCCGATGTACGGTGAGTAACCTGTGTATGTAGCAGAAGTGTAACACTGTCATGTGCAGGTATTGGGAGGCTGAGGTACAGTAGAGGTCATTGAAGAATTATGAACTTTTTAGCTCCAAGACCTTCATATAGTTTAGGGACACCTTTTCCTAGGAAAAAACAGGAATAACTTTGAACAGAGGAGTTGATGTCTTGCCATCTCTCTTAGGAGGGATGTAATAGTATTAGAACATCTGTCCTTGTCTTGATGCCCTGCCTTATGGACTTGGTAGCTTAGAATGTTTAATAGGACTACTTACTGCTTTTAGATTACTTCAGAGAGAAATGCTAGGCTATTGGTCTGTGGATTTTCCATGCCTAATTGTTCTGGATTATTGTTAAAGTCTAGCTACTGACTCTGTTAAGCAGATAGGAATGATGATGTCACACAAATCTTGGAGGAAGTTCAGAAAAAGCAGAGAAAATTCTATTATTCCTTACCTACAAGGGTCTTGGGATTTCGTCTTACTTGAAATGGGATTTTAATAATCCTTTGATAAGATTGAGGCTGTGAGCTGTACCATCTCCTTCCCATGGTTATGAATTGGGTTTATCATCACTTTTTCTCTCAGTGTCCAGCTCTGAAGGGCAAAGTGCAGAAGATTCTAATCTGGAAGTGGGGTCAGCCACCATCTCCAACACCAGTGCCTAGGCCTCCAGATGCCGATCCCAATACTCCCTCCCCCAAACCCTTGGAAGGGCGGCCAGAGCGACAATTCTTTGTTAAATGGCAAGGCATGTCTTACTGGCACTGCTCCTGGGTGTCTGAACTGCAGGTAGGTCTGGGACAGCCTAGAGATGTGGGGGCTACAATTAAAAAGATAGTGGGAAAATAGTGTTGTGAATAGAGAGGGTGGATGCAGCTCTTCCATGGTTTGTTTTCTCTTTCTGCTCTCAGTTGGAGCTGCATTGTCAGGTAATGTTTCGAAACTATCAGCGGAAGAATGATATGGATGAGCCACCTTCTGGGGACTTTGGTGGTGATGAAGAGAAGAGCCGAAAGCGAAAGAACAAGGACCCTAAATTTGCAGAGATGGAAGAACGCTTTTATCGCTACGGGATAAAACCTGAGTGGATGATGATCCACCGAATCCTCAACCACAGGTACCAGCTGGGCCCAATGGAGGTAGGCAGTATATCCATGGGAGACTCCTGCTAAAGGGAAAAAGAAGATGGAGATTGCCAGTAACTTACATTTGGAGGACATTCTATATTTTAAATAAATGACTGAATTCTGGAATTTGAGCTATAGATTAAGAGATAATGTTTGGTCCAAAGATAGGTATAATAGAGGCTCTGGATACATGTGGGGTTTGTGGCACTTTTAAAGTGGTTAAGAACATAAATTATTGTCACTTTCTGAGAGCAAGGCAAACCAGGAGACCAGGCAAGAAGCTCAAGAAGGTAAAGCTAAGGACTTGGGAAGAGAAGAAGGCTGTTTTCTAACTCTGAGGGTTTTCTCTCTTGACCTTACAGTGTAGACAAGAAGGGCCATGTCCACTACCTGATTAAGTGGCGGGACTTACCCTATGATCAGGCGTCTTGGGAGAGTGAGGATGTGGAAATACAGGACTATGATTTGTTCAAGCAGAGCTATTGGAATCACAGGTAGGTGATTTAGGGAGAGGAGAAGAGTTGCTTCCTTTTGAAAAGGATCTTAGGCAGCTGTGGAATGTTTTCCTTTTTTTAGGGAGTTAATGAGGGGTGAGGAAGGGCGACCAGGCAAGAAGCTCAAGAAGGTAAAGCTAAGGAAGTTGGAGAGGCCTCCTGAGACTCCAACAGTAGATGTGAGTTTGGGGCAGAAGAGGGAAGGGTGGGCATATTTTGTCTCCTCCACTGTATGAATTGTGCTCTAAGTAACAACCTGCAAATAATAATGTTGCTGTCAGTGTTTCATATCATCCACTTCCCCACATCTCTCTAATCAGAAAATACTAGGATTACTTTTCCTTTTTTTTTTTTTTTTTGAATTTATTTTTTTTTTTTAGTTTTCGGCGGACACAACATCTTTATTTGTATGTGGTGCTGAGGATCGAACCCAGGCCGCACGCATGCCAGGCGAGCGCGCTACTACTTGAGCCACATCCCCAGCCCTACTTTTCCTTTTTGTCATCATAAAAAACCTAGGTATATTTTGTATGATTGAGGAAGTGTTATTTAGGGAGTGGTCATGTGGCCAAGCTTTTGTGAAAAATATTGGAACCTGACTTTTTTTTTTTTTAATATTTATTTTTAGTTGTAGTTGGACATGATACCTGTATTTCACTTATTTATTTTTATATGGTGCTGAGGATCAAACCCAGGGTCTCGCATATGCAAGGCCAGCGCTCTACTGCTGAGCCACAACCCCAGCCCCAAGGAAACTGACTCTTAATTGTATGGTTCAATTCCTTTAGATCTTGTTTATGTACCCTGAGGGCAGTTAAGTTGAAGAGAATTTGGGACTAGGGGGGATGTAGCTCAGTGGTAAAGTGTGTGTGAGGCCCTGGGATTGAGGGAGGGGAAGACAAGAAATTTATTCTAGAAAGGGTATGTGATTATTTATGTGTTGGTTCTGGAGATTGAATCCAAGACCTTGTGCTTTATGACTGAGCTGTACTCCCAGCGTGCCACCACCCCCTCCCCAACAAATTTTTCATGATTTTCAAGCAGGATCTAGTGAGGATAAGTAAGGAAGGAAGCAGCTGCTCTCTAATGGGGCAAAGGGAATTGCTTGCCAACTCTTGACTTTTCTATTTTATCCTTCAGCCAACTGTGAAATATGAGCGACAGCCAGAGTACCTGGATGCTACAGGTGGAACCCTGCACCCTTACCAAATGGAGGGCTTGAACTGGTTGCGCTTTTCCTGGGCTCAGGGCACTGATACTATCTTGGCTGATGAGATGGGTCTTGGAAAAACTGTACAGACAGCGGTCTTCCTCTATTCTCTCTATAAGGAGGTGAGGAAAGCAGGGACTTTTAGTTTTTGGTGTGGGTATTTTGTGTTCAGTCTTCTCTTACACTCCAAGGAAAAAAAGGGGAAGAAAGAATTTGGTCTCTGACTTTGAGTAACACTGCTGAGTGATAGTGAGATAGATATATATCCACAGGGAAAGACTTGAGGGAGTGGAGCTATGGGTATTAGCTGGGTACCTGAACCTTAACCCTAGGGGAATAGATGTATGTCAGTTCAGCAGAATTGTGGATGGAATTAGTAGGAAAAGACTTAATAGAACAGGTAGGAGTTTTAGCACTCTATTAAGGTGGGTCATGGCTTATTGCAAAGAGCAGGTAGGGCTTTTTTGTAGATGAGGAGGTGAGGGTAGAGGCAGCAGTATAGATGGCTAGTCAGCGCCAGCTTTGTTCTAAGGATAGAGGGAGAGGTAGATGCTGGAGTGTGGTGTCATGGGGTCCTCAGTCCTGACTCTGCCTCTTTTCTTTCTCCAAGGGTCATTCCAAAGGCCCCTTCCTAGTGAGTGCCCCACTTTCTACCATCATCAACTGGGAACGGGAGTTTGAAATGTGGGCTCCAGATATGTATGTGGTAACCTATGTGGGTGATAAGGACAGCCGTGCCATCATTCGTGAAAATGAGTTCTCCTTTGAAGACAATGCCATCCGGGGTGGCAAGAAGGCATCCCGCATGAAGGTATCTCATGGTAGGGGGGGCACCCTAGAGAGGAAGTTGCTGCTTTGGGTTTAGTTTGCCTCCTGTGGCCTGGTCCCTGGGTGAGGCAAAAGAATACCTGGGAGGGGAGAAATACCTTATCTGTGCTTAGGAGGAGTGGACTAGTAGTGATGAGGTTGTCTTCATGTGCAGAAAGAGGCATCTGTGAAATTCCACGTGCTGCTGACATCCTATGAGTTGATCACCATTGATATGGCTATCTTGGGTTCTATTGATTGGGCCTGCCTCATCGTGGATGAAGCCCATCGACTGAAGAACAATCAGTCTAAGGTGAGGATACAGGGAGGGAGCTTATGGTTCCGTTTTAGTCTTTCGGTACCATCTACTCATTAAGAGAAAACCCAAGAGAAGAAAAGGAAAAATTGATAGCTCCTGGTAGCCAGGCCTTTAGAAAGTTTGCTTAGCATGTGTAAGGCTCCTGCTTCAATCCCCAGCACCAAAAAACAGACATAAAGGCTGAGGTTATAGCTCAGTGGTAGAGTGTGCTTAGCATGCAGAAGGCCCTGGGTTCTATCTGTAGCACTAAAAATAAATAAAAATAAAAAGTATGATGATGGGGTGGGAGGCAATGAAATACATAGAATTCTGCAGAGATATACTACAATCCTTGTTTTATTGAGTATGACATCTCCATCTGCTTCACCAGTTCTTCCGGGTCTTGAATGGTTACTCACTCCAGCACAAGCTGTTGCTGACTGGGACTCCATTGCAAAACAATCTTGAAGAATTGTTTCATCTGCTCAACTTTCTCACCCCGGAGAGGTTTCAGTAAGTGTGTTTATCCATAATTGCCTCATAATTTTGCTTCTAATTGGTCTTCTTGTTGCCCATTTCCTCTATCACTTTCCCTTATCCTTTCTCCTTCTCCAACAAATTTCTTCCTTTTCTTTCTGAAGCAATTTGGAAGGCTTCTTGGAGGAGTTCGCTGACATTGCCAAAGAAGACCAGATTAAAAAACTGCATGACATGCTGGGTCCTCACATGTTACGGCGGCTTAAAGCTGATGTGTTCAAGAATATGCCCTCTAAGACAGAACTGATTGTGCGTGTGGAGCTGAGCCCTATGCAAAAGTGAGTTGAGGCAGAAGCATTGGCTCCATTTTGCAAGTACAGTTAGACATTTTCTAGTCTATAAAGTGTTTCTCATCCCTCCTTCCAGTCAGCTTCAAGGCATTTGGTGACAGGAGCTAACAGGACCTAAAGAAACTTGATGCCACAGAACTGGAGCATTCAGTTCTTAATTATACCTTCCCTTTTTTAACATGATGATGATGGTTCTGATGCTGTTAAGTTTCCGTAGCTGCAAAGTGAGATATGTTGAAAACAAGTTATCAGGCTGTGGGACTACATTATATCATTAAAGGCTCTTGAATCTGACCTATCTTTCTGCCTTGCCCATGAAGGAAGTACTACAAGTATATTCTCACTCGAAATTTTGAAGCTCTCAATGCTCGAGGTGGTGGCAACCAGGTCTCTCTGCTAAATGTGGTGATGGATCTCAAGAAGTGCTGCAACCACCCCTACCTCTTCCCTGTGGCAGCAATGGTAAGTCATGCTACCTCTTGGTCCTCCCTGGGTTGCAACTCCTCCCTGTGGTCTTTCAATATTGTTTTTTCTTTTTTTCCTTAGGAAGCCCCTAAGATGCCTAATGGCATGTATGATGGCAGTGCCCTAATCAGAGCATCTGGGAAACTACTGCTGCTGCAGAAGATGCTTAAGAACCTTAAGGAGGGTGGGCATCGAGTACTCATCTTTTCCCAGGTATTAATGTGGACTGGGCTTTGAGCTTTAGGGGACAGGAGTAGATAGCCTTCAGTGACTTGAGGAACCATCTTATCCCTGGACTCCTTCATAACTGCTCCTTTTGCAGATGACCAAGATGCTGGACCTGTTAGAGGATTTCTTAGAACATGAAGGTTATAAATACGAACGTATTGATGGTGGAATCACTGGGAACATGCGTCAAGAGGCCATTGACCGATTCAATGGTAAGAGAGGAGGGGTTTTATTCCCAGCATCCTGATTCACTTTTATCTTTGGACGGATCACTTGTTTTAATGTATCTCTTTTTCTGTATAGTTTTTTTGGGTCTTCATCAATTGATAATGGAAGAGGAGAGCTTTTGAATGTCTCTATTGGAAGAATGTATTGGACTATTCCTATGAGTTTTTTTTTTTTTTCTATTGGAGTTTTTGTTTTTTTTGCTAAAAAAAAAAACTTTTTTTTTTTTTTTTTTTTTTGTCTAATTCCCCCTTCTTCAGCCTTGAGGCCGAAAGGGATCGGATTTGCTCAAGTTTAACTGCTAAGTTGGGACAGACTTCTTTATCTAAGTAGACTCTACTACATCTTTTTTTTCAATTTACTTATTTTGAAGTAATTTTGATTTCAAGGAAAAGCTACAAAATAGTACAGAGTTCATGTATACCTACTTTATCCTGCTTGTCTTTTTTTTTTAAGTTGTTGATCGATCTTTATTTTTTAATATTTATTTTTTAGTTTTAGGTGGACACAATATCTTTATTTTATTTATTTATTTATCTATCTATCTATCTATTTATTTATTTATTTGGTAAAGATGGCGCCAGGAGCGCTTCTCTCTCTTTTTTTTTTTTTTTAACATTTATTTTTTTTTAAGTTTTCGGTGGACACAACATCTTTTGTCTGTATGTGGTGCTGAGGATCGAACCTGGGCCGCACGCATGCCAGGCGAGCGCGCTACCGCTTGAGCAACATCCCCAGCCCTCTTTATTTTATTTATATGTGGTGTTGAGGATTGAACCTAGCGCCCTGCGCATGCCAGGCGAGTGCACTACCGCTTGAGCCACATCCCCAGCCCCTTTATTTTTATGTGGTGCTGAGAATCAAACCCAGACCCTCACACATGCTAGGCAAGTACTGTACCACTGAGTCACAACCCAGCCCTCTTGTTTGTCTTCATAACTGTAGTACAGTGATCAAAACCAGGAAATTAACTCTGGTATTTATCTGAACTATAGACTTTAATTGAATGTCATCAGTTTTTCCTATAATGTCCTTTTTCCATTTTAGGATTCTACCCCAGGTCCCACATTGCATTGTGCCTCTTCCTATCTATGACATTGCTTAATTTTTCCCCATTTTCTTTCGTTATGTTGATACTTTTTTAAAAAAATATTCTTTGAGGATGTTTACAATACCTTTATTTTGTTTAGATTTTTTTTAAACGTGGTGCTGGGGACCGAACCCAGTGCCTCACGTTTGCTAGGCAAGCACTCTACAACTGAGTCACATCCCAAGCCCTATGTTGATACTTCTGATGAGTACTCGTTAGTTGTTTTGTATAATGTCTCTTGAGTTTGGGTATGTCTGATGATTACTCTTGATTTTTTTTTTTTATTTATACATGGGCACATTATCTTTATTTTGTTTATTTATTTTTATGTGGTGCTGAGGATCGAACCCAGGGTCTCACATGTGCGAGGCGAGCACTCTACCGCTGAACCACAACCCTAGCCCCTTGCTCTTGATTTGATTAGACATTTTTGGCAAGAATACCACAGAGGTGATGCTGTGTCCTTTTCAGTGCATCATAATGGGGTGGATATGATGTTCATGTGTCCCATTTCTGGTAATAACTGATGATTTAGTAAAGTGGTGTCTGCTGAGATTCTCCACTGTGAAATTACTTTTTTCCCATTGTATTTATTATATGGTAAAATCCTTTGTGTCCCTAAATTTTCAGAGTGATTTCAGTATGATTGGGGGACCTTGTTTACAGTTGTTACTATGGCGTTTGCCTATGAGCTTTATGTTTCTGACATTTATTAATTGTAATTTAGAATACACCTCTTTTTTTAAAATATTTTTTTAGTTATAGTTGGACACAATATTTTTATGTTGTGTTGAGGATTGAACCCAGCGTCTCACATGTGCTAGGTGAGTGCTTTACTGATGAGCCACAACCGCAGCCCCTAGAATACACCTCTAACAGTGTTTTTGGTTCCTTTCTTAGCACCTGGAGCTCAACAATTCTGCTTCTTGCTTTCCACTCGAGCTGGGGGCCTTGGGATCAATCTGGCTACTGCTGACACAGTTATTATATATGACTCTGACTGGAATCCCCATAATGATATCCAGGTAAGCAGAAGTAGTAGCCTTTAGAGAGCAACTTACTGAAGATGCACAGTATTCTCTATGCGGGTGGCTCTACCTTCTGGAATTAGTTGTCTGGGAAATAATAGGTTCTTCCCCCACCCCCCAGTACCAGGATTGAACTCTGGGGCACTCGACCACTGAGCCATATTCCCCAGCCCTATTTTGCATTTAGTTATTTAGAGATAGGGTTTCATTGAGTTGCTTAGCACCTTGCTTTTGCTGAGGCTGTCTTTGAACTCACGATCCTCCTGCCTCAGCTTCCCCAGCCATTGGGATTACAGGTGTGCACCACTGCACCCAGCAAGAGTCTTTTTATATCATCTAACTTACTATAAACTAGAGTTTGAGTTAGTGATGGTGGTGTCTGGGGGACAAGAGTGTGAAAGGAGTTTCATATGAAGACAAGTTGTGGCCCTTGTCTCATACTAGATTTAACTTATATGAAAGTCAAGGCGGGTGTGGCAGCTGGAAAACATGGGTTCTGACTTTATTTTCTGCTAAATTTCAGGCTTTTAGCAGAGCTCACCGCATTGGGCAAAATAAGAAAGTGATGATTTACCGGTTTGTGACCCGTGCATCAGTGGAGGAGCGCATCACGCAGGTGGCAAAGAAAAAAATGATGCTCACACATCTAGTGGTGCGGCCTGGACTGGGCTCCAAGACTGGATCTATGTCTAAACAGGAGCTTGATGATATCCTCAAATTTGGCACTGAGGAGCTATTCAAGGATGAGGCCACAGATGGAGGTGAGCTAGGCAGGAACTTAAGTTTTGGGGGGTAGGACTTCTTTCAAAGGGTAGGAAATACCTTTGATACCCAGGGTCCTGTGGGATCTGCTTTTTCCATTGCAGCTGCTGAAGTTGACTTTGGGTTATGGGCCCCTGATTCTTTATAGGAGGAGACAACAAAGAGGGAGAAGATAGCAGTGTTATCCATTATGATGATAAGGCCATTGAACGACTACTGGACCGTAACCAGGATGAGACAGAAGACACAGAATTGCAGGGCATGAATGAATATTTGAGCTCATTCAAAGTGGCCCAGTATGTGGTGCGGGAAGAAGAAATGGGGGTGAGTATGAATCAGGGCAGTGCTATGCTTGCTGATTGGCCTGAAAATTAGACTTGAAACTAAGATGGTATTTGAGCAAAGTGAAAAACATCTGTAGATAAATTAGTACATTGATAATTGATAACACCTCTTCCTTTGAAAACAAAGAACATGACTAATCACATTCTCATCTTTGCCTTGGTGTTGGAAAATATATAGTTGCTTTTACTCCTAATAGATATTGCCTCTTAACCTGGATCTCTCTTTTTTAAGTAGATTTTGTTAATTCTACACAAATGCTACCTCAGGTCTCTTTGGAAGAAAGGATATGAAATACATATCTGGATAAACTATTTTCCTTTTTTTTGGGGCGGGGTAGGGGATTGAACCAGGGGTGGTTAATCACTGAGCCACATCCTCTAACCCTTTATATTTATTTATTTTTTGAGATAGGATTTTGCTAATATGCTGAGGCTGGCCTCGAACTTTTGATATTCCTACCTCAGCCTCCTGAGTTGCTGGGATTATAGGTGTGTGCCACCATGCCTGGCCTCCTGATGTATTTTAAAAGATTAGAATTACTTGCCTTAAATTTTTTTTTTTTTTTGTATGTGGAGGGTATCTGCTATAGTAAAAAACTAAACTGGATAGGCATGGTCTGTTGTAATATTATTCTCTCCCAAATGATAGAAAAATATATGAAAAATGTGAGAGAGTATATGTGTTTATGTGTATGAAAAATAAAATGTACTTTCTCTGTTGGTCCCCTTTAAATCAGATGGCTCAAGGTTCTTTGAATTGATATAGATTGTTGGTGGTCTTTGCTTTCTTATTTTTTTTTTAATACTTTATTATTAATTGACATAGCAATTATACATATTTATGGGGTACAATGGACATTTCAATACAAATATGTAATGTGTAATGATCAGTTTAGGGTAGTTGTTATGTCTGCCACTCAGACATTTACCATTTCTTTGTACCGCATTTAATTCTTACAACAAATCTGGAAATTTGAAATCATAAACTCCATTTTTTTTTTTTTCAGTGCTGGGGATTGAACCCAGGGGTGCTCTACCACTGAGCTACATTCCCAGCCCCCCCCCCTTTTAAATATATGTGTATATATTTTTTAGTGGTTGATGGACCTCTTTATTCATTTATTTATATGTGGTGTTAAGAATCGAACCCAATGCCTCACACATGCTAGGCAAATACTCTACCACTGAGCCACAACCCCAGCCCCTGCCATCTTTTCTTATCCTTCTAACTCAGGACGATCTTCTTGATGTACTTGTCATAACATTGCTTTTATTTATTTATTTAAATTCTTGAAGGTGATGTTTCTAATCACAGTTTATGTGTAACTGGCTGAGAATTCTGGTGTAGGCTTCTAGATCACAAATATTCAAAAACTGCTCTCCTGTTAGGAGATCCTATTGTTTTCAGTAGCAGTGTTACTTAGAAGTGATTGGCTGGGACAGCTTGTGCTAAGTGAATAATTTGTGCTAGTGACTACACAAATGTACAAGTTGTCCTCTGATTAGTGACTGCAGCTGCTGTTTACTTTTTTTCATATTTGTGTGTGTGTGTGTGCGTGCGCGCGCATGTTCATATGCTGGGGATTGAACCCAGGGCCTCATATGTGTTAGAAGCACTCTATCACTGAGCTACATCCTTAACCCAAGTTTTTTGTTGTTGTTTGGGTACTGGAGATTGAACCCAGAGGTGCATTTACCACTGAACCACATTCCCAGCTCTTATTTTTTATTTTAAGACACAGTCTTAGTTGCTGATGCTGGCCTTGAACTTGTGATCCTCTACCTCAGCCTCCTGAGTTGCTGGGATTACAGGCCAATGCCACCACACCTGGCCCATGTTTTATTTTTTTGAACACATGGAATTTATTTTTCAGTTTTACTTTTCTTTCTTTTTCTTTTTTAGTAGTAGGAATTGAACCCAGGGACATTTAACGACAGAACTACAACCCCAGCCTTTTTAACATTTTACTTTGAGAACAGCATCTCACTAAGTTGCTTAGGGCCTCGCTAAATTGCTGAGGCTGGCTTTGAACTAGGCAGTCCTCCTGCTTCAGCCTGCCTAGCTGCTGGGATTACAGGTGTAAAGCTTGGCTCAGCTTTTCTATACTATAACAAAATACATTAGACAACTTAAAAACAGGAAAGTCTGACCAAGCGTGATGGTGCATGCCTGTAATCCCAGTCATTTGGGAGGCTGAGGCAGGAGGAATTCAAATTCAGGAAAAACCTGTCTCAAAAAATAAAGGACTAGGCATGTAGCAAAGTGGTATAACAGTTGCTTACCATCTGAGGGTTTGATCATTGGTACTGAATGGAGGAAAAAAAGGCAAAAAATGAGGAAAGGCTTATTTTGGCTCATGGTTTTAGAAGTTCCATTCCATAGTTAATAGGTTCTGTTGCTTTTGGACCTGTGACAAGGCAGCTTATTATGGTGAGGAGTATGTGGTAGAGGAAGCTGCTCACCTCAGGGCAGCAAGGAAGGAAAAAGAAAGGGGTGGGGTCCCAAAATCCTTTTCAAGGGTGTTTCCCCAGTGACCTAACTTCCTCTCACTAGGTCCCTGCTCTTACCTCCCAGTAGTACCATAGGTTGGTGACCAAGATTGTAGCATATGGGCCTTTAGGGAATGTTTATCCAGACCATATCATGGTTCAAAATTCCAAAGATAGGAAGATCTCTCTTCTAAAACCTTTAACCTAGTGGGCATGGTGGTGCATGCCTATAATCCTAGGGACCTGGGAGGCTGAGGCAGGAGGATTTCAACTTTGAGGCCAGCAATGGCAATTTAGCAAGACCCTAAGCAATTTGGTGAGATTTAGTCTCAAATAAAAATGAGAAGGACTGGGAATGGGAATGCATTTTAGTGGTAGTGCCTCTGGGTTCAATCCCCAGTACCCCAAAACCCCCCAAAAACAAACCAAAAAAAACCCCTTCTCTAATTGCTTAATTTCCTTTCTGGGGCAACTAATGTTTTTAGTTTATTGTATATCTTTCCAAATATATTTTATATGCATATGAATTATACTTGTGTGCATATATGTATACATTACATACACAATCCATATGCACACCTTTTAAAACACAAAAGTTTATTATACATAAAGTTATCTACCTTTTCTTTTTTTATTTTAGTGGGTACTGGGGATTGAACTCAGGAACACTTAATCACTGAGCCACAATGCCAGTCCTATTTTGTATTTTATTTATAGACAGGATCTCTCTGAGTTGCTTAGTGCCTCCCTTTTTTTCAGAGGCTTGCTTTGAATTCTTGATCCTCCTGCCTGAGCCTCCCAAACTTCTGGGATTACAGGTGTACAACACCACACCCAGCATCTATATTGCTTTTATATCTACTTGATGTATCTTGGAGATACAATCCAAATCAAAACATAAAGTCTCCCTCCATTTTCTCCCTTTATAATATGTCCTTGTTGGGCTGGGTGCAATCCCCAGTACCCCCCAAAATTCTATAACATGTTCTTGGGAAGTAGAGGTTGAGTATTGCTTATCTGAAATGCTTGGGACCAGAAGGGTTAGATTTGACAGTTTTATGAATTTTGGGATATTTGCATAAATTTGACTGGTTTGAACATCACTAATTCAAAAATTTGAAGCCCAAAATTTTTTGAGGGCTGACATTATGCTCAAAGTCATTTTTTCTTGGGGGCCAGGGGTCTAGGGGTTGAACCCAGGGGTGCTTTATCACTGGTTTACATCCCCAGTGCACCTCCCCTATGCCTCTTGAGACAGGACCTCACTAAGTTGCTGAGGTTGACCTTGAATTTGCAATCCTGTTGTCTTAGGCCTTCCAAGTCTCTGGGATTATAGAAGGTACACCACCATGCCTGGCTCTCAAAGTCATGTCTTGATATTTAGAGCATTTTGGATTTCAGATTCTTTAGACTAGGGATGCTTAACCTGTATTGTAATTTATTTAATTAGTGGCATAATAATGGGTATTTAATCATTAAATGTTTCTGCTATTAATGCTATTAGCAGTGGTTTAGTTCTACTATGAAGGATTTGAATTCAATCAGTGGTTTTGAAATATTTTAGAAAAACACATAAGACTTTCAGAGGAGCATAATCATTATTGGGACATAGGAGATATATATGTGAGTGTATATATGTTTTTATATATGTATATACACCTATGTATATGTAATTTATTTTTTTCTTTCCTTTGCAGACAGTTGGTAAATTTTTATGAGTTTGCGAAGACCAGAAGGACTATTCTGGCTTATTTTATCTTAATGAAGATTATTTGCAGTGTTTCAGAAATCCCTCTTTCTGTTTGTTAAAGCTCTAATCTTTTTCTTTTAATATTCTCCCAATTGGATATGTACTGGTAGAGTTAGAAGAAAGGAAGAAAGTGTGTTTTCTCTTCATCTTCTCCTGTGATAACTTCAGTCCAGATTTTTCTTTAGTAATCTACACATACTTGAGGATCCATGTCCTGTTAAATACGTTCTAAGTTTGTAGGTACAAGCAGGCATACCAAGTATTCAAGAGTCCAGTCATGCAAAGGAGCTAGCAGAATGGGAACTGCGAGGACCCAGGGGTAACTGGTGGTGTTGACTTCAGCACCCCTGAGTTCTGGCCCTCCCTATGTCCCAGGAGGAAGAGGAGGTAGAACGGGAAATCATAAAACAGGAAGAAAGTGTGGATCCTGACTACTGGGAGAAATTGCTGCGGCACCATTATGAGCAGCAGCAAGAAGATCTAGCCCGAAATCTGGGCAAAGGAAAAAGAATCCGTAAACAGGTCAACTACAATGATGGCTCCCAGGAGGACCGAGGTGTGTGTGGCCGGCCCCGCCCCCCACCCATGGGCCGTTCCACTAGAGCAGTGGGCCCCGCTCATCTGCCCTCTCTCCCTCCAGATTGGCAGGACGACCAGTCCGACAACCAGTCCGATTACTCAGTGGCTTCAGAGGAAGGTGATGAAGACTTTGATGAACGTTCAGAAGGTAAGAACTGTGCCTTTTTGCTGGTCTTTGAGATATTGCTTTGTTTTCTACCTTATCAGTGTCACTCATTCATCCTTTCCTTCTTGCAGCTCCCCGCAGGCCCAGTCGTAAGGGCCTGCGGAATGATAAAGATAAGCCATTGCCTCCTCTGTTGGCCCGTGTTGGTGGGAATATTGAAGTAAGTGTTACATGATTATGGTGTAGGGTGGTTGAATGCTAGATACTAAGTCTTTGGTGAAGTGAGACCTGCTCCCTCTCACCTAGGTTTCTTTTTCCCCTAGGTTCTTGGTTTTAATGCTCGTCAGCGAAAAGCCTTTCTTAATGCAATTATGCGATATGGGATGCCACCTCAGGATGCTTTTACCACCCAGTGGCTTGTGAGAGATCTGCGAGGCAAGTCAGAGAAAGAGTTCAAGTAAGTTTATAGGGCTGGGGTGACTGATGTAGAACATGGGCTTTACTTTACTGTGTGGCCATTCCAGTGTTAGTCCAGGCTATGCAGGGAAATAGCTGTTTCTTCTGCCGAAGATGGTAGGAGAAGCTGGTAGTAATATGGGTTGTGTTCTTAACTGCCCTCAAACAGAACCTGGATTGTGGTGTGGGATCTGGAGATTGACCCTCTAGTGCAGTGGGCTTTACCTCCAGGCAGAGCCATAGTCATTCCCCGCGGTAATGCCTAAGGGGTGGGAAAGAATCTGATGTAGGAGTCAGCATGGTGTCTCTTTTAACTCATTGCTCTCCCTTCTTTGCCACAGGGCTTATGTCTCTCTGTTCATGCGGCATTTATGTGAGCCAGGGGCAGATGGAGCTGAGACTTTTGCTGATGGTGTCCCCCGAGAAGGCCTGTCTCGCCAGCATGTCCTTACTAGGATTGGTGTCATGTCCTTGATTCGCAAAAAGGTGAATCCTGAGCCTCTGTACATTTTTAAAGGCTTCTAGGGAAATGAGGGTCCAGTAGGAAAGGAGCTCATAGCTGGAACTAGATCTTCAACTTCTTGTCCTTTGCTATAGGTTCAGGAGTTTGAACATGTTAATGGGCGCTGGAGCATGCCTGAACTGGCTGAGGTGGAGGAAAACAAGAAAATGTCCCAGCCAGGGTCACCCTCTCCAAAGACTCCTACACCTTCTACTCCAGGAGACACACAACCAAATACTCCTGCACCTGCTCCACCTGCTGGTAAATCTGCCTGTCCTGTCAAATTTCTTTCTGTCTCTTTTTGTCCTGGCCTGTGCTTTTTTTTGCTCCCTGTGCTCAGCTCTAACAGGGTAGTCTGGCAGGACACACAGCAGTTTCCCTCTCAGTTTAGGAGAGCCATCCTAAGAATAGGGCTGGCTCTTAAAGGCACGAGAGGACAATTTAAGATGAAAAATTAGGAAAGCATAACCTTTTCTCTGATCTGGTACTTTTTTCCTAATTGATTATCTCCTATTGGCCTACAGAGGATGGGATAAAAATAGAGGAAAATAACCTCAAAGAAGAAGAGAGCCCAGAAGGAGAAAAGGAGGTTAAATCTGCAGCTCCTGAGGCTACTGTTGAGGTAAGAGATGGGTGAGGTAAGATGCCATACTCAAAGCAAACACATAAGGCCAGTCTTCCTTTTAAGTGTTAGCTTGTCTGCTTTATCATCTTTTTTTCCTTTGAAGTGTACACAGCCTCCTGCCCCTGCTTCGGAGGATGAAAAAGTCCTTGTTGAACCCACAGAGGGAGAGGAGAAAGTGGAAAAGGCAGAAGTAAAGGAGAGAACAGAGGAACCCATGGAGACAGAGCCCAAAGGTATCCACATTTTCAAACACTAAAGATCCCTGGGTGAATCATAGGCACTCGTGGACTTAAAACCAGGTGTAGAGGTGTCAGGAGGAAATGATTTTGAAGAATCCTGTACCCTTCTAAATTACAGTCCCCGAGACATCCTTTGTGACTTTAATTATAGAAATTTAGATGAGGGACTATTCCAATTGGATAATTGTGTGGAACAGAGGAGGAAACTCTTGCTTTAGGTATATATATTCTCAGTGCTTTTTTTTCTCTCAGGTGTTACTGATGTGGAGAAGGTGGAAGAGAAGTCAGCAATAGATCTGACCCCTATTGTGGTGGAGGACAAAGGTTGGTGTTTGAAGAAGCTGATTATGGTTTGGAAGAACTCTAAAACCAGAAGCATTATCTGCTCCTGCCTTACTATCCCATATCCATATATTTTATCCCAAATTAAAAGATTCCACCTGTCCTCGATTTAGTTGGGCTGGGCTGGTGGCACCTTTTTCCTCCGCTCAGGAGACACCTGGGTGGAAATAGGTAGGGAAGTGGATGGATATTTTACAGCATGTATACTCTGGGGAAGGGCCATAGTACTGGACTTTGTCCAGTGTTGATATTTTTCTTCCATGTATCCCGTAGAAGAGAAGAAAGAGGAAGATGAGAAAAAGGAGGTGATGCTTCAGAATGGAGAGACCCCCAAGGACCTGAGTGATGAGAAGCAGAAGAAAAATATCAAACAGCGTTTCATGTTTAATATTGCAGATGGTGGTTTTACTGGTACGAAGATGTGGGACTCACTGGGGGTTAAAAGGATCTGAAGTGAAATTGGGGTTCTCATTAGAAACCAGGGTACAAAGACTTTACCTTTGCTGGATGAGGGAATGCAAGCTGATTGTGTCCTCCTCTACATTCTGTTAGTGAGAGGCAAACCATAATAAGATGGAGTGGGGGACAAGAATAAATGGCTTTTCTGAATTCTCACAGATGTTTGCTGTTTTTCCTGTTTCTCCAACCTTCCCTAAATTCCTCCTCAGAGTTGCATTCCCTTTGGCAGAATGAGGAGCGGGCAGCCACAGTCACCAAGAAGACTTATGAGATCTGGCATCGACGGCATGACTACTGGCTGTTAGCTGGCATCATAAAGTATCCTTTGCCTGAGTCTGGACTAGGGTTCTTGGTGCAGGGTTCTGAAGGGCCTTTAGTTTGAGGTTCTTGTTTTCCTTGTTTTATTTTTCCTGAGCATTTTCCCAATAGCCATGGTTATGCTCGGTGGCAGGACATCCAGAATGACCCACGCTATGCCATCCTCAATGAGCCTTTTAAGGGTGAAATGAACCGAGGCAATTTCTTAGAGATCAAGAATAAGTTTCTAGCTCGAAGGTTCAAGGTAAGCAGGATGGGTAAGGAAAATATGGCATTTAAGTGGTGACAGACTGGAAGTCCAGAAGGTTCTTGCAAAGGAAGGAGTCCATTTCATTCAGCCATACTGTTTTTGACTCCCTAGTGACTTTAGTATTAGAGATCAGGACATATAGACTTGAAACTAATCAGCTATACAAGAGCTGATGGTGACCGTGTGCCTAAGTGACACAAACTAGTGCAATGAGTTTGATGGGGGAAACAGTGTAGGCTGGAGTGTTCAGGAAAGATGGGTGGGATTGAATTGAATCCCTGAGGAAGGGGGGTGCTGTGAATGGGCTGGTGGTCATTTTTTCTGAGAGAGAACTTGTGAGATAAAGGTAGAGTGGCTGCAAAGAGGAGATACAAATACAAGTAGAGCCTCTTAAAATCACTGAGCCCACTGGGAGGGTCTCCTCCAATTTAGCAGATGAGCTGGATACAGTGGCATATGCCTGTTGATCCCAGCAACTCTGGGGGCTGAGTGAGGCAGGAGAATTGCAAGTTCTAGGCCAGCCTGGACAACTTAATGAAAGTATCTCAAAATAAAAAATAAAAAGGGCTGGGGCTATAGCTCAGTGGGTCAACCAGGCAAAACAACAAGAACAACAACAAAAAAAAACGGGATTCAGCACATATTTATTGAGGGTTTCTTGTGTGCAGAGCAGAGTATTAAATAGGATACCATGAAATGGCTCTTTCAAGTTTAGTAATAACAAACATGCTAACAAGCCTTGAGATGTTATGTACGAAGCAGTGACTGACACAGGGATACAAAGGTGAAACAAGGTTCCTGTTATCAAGGAGCTTTTGAGTTTCAAGCAAAGCATATGTGTTATGAAGTGAATTCTGTTCTGTACAGCAGGAGGAAGACTGCTAAGTGCCCTAAGAAAGTTGTCCAGAGAGAACCAGAGGAGCAGGGAGCTAGCATGGAAATTAAGCTTTGATGAATGCACTAGATAGTTGGGTAGTTATAGGGACATTAAATTGGGCAAAGACAAACAGCAAAGCTTAGAGTGTTTGGAATTAGCAAATAGCCCAGGTGAGTTATAGAAAACATGTGTTGGGTAATGGTGGGAGGTAGTTTGGAAAGACATAAGGGCTAAAGGTCAGTAGGCAAAGATAAGAGAATTTGGATTTTATTCTGTAGTTAACAGGTAGCCACTTAAAGGTTGTGAACAGAGTTTTGATAGGACCAAGGGAAATGGAAACATCATTTATGAAATGTCACACATTAGTGAGATATCAAGGGCCTGGGCTCTGGTTGCTGCTTGTGGATAAAGGAAATATTTATAGGACTTAATGATTTACTGTAGAGCTCAGCAAATCTTTTCTGTTATAGAGCCAGGTAATATTTCATGCTCAAACTCTGTCATTATTGTGTGAAAGCAGTCATAGGTGATATATAAACAAATGTATATATATTTGGATGTATTCCAAAAAGATTTTATTTATGTACACTAAAACTTGAGTTTGTATAATTTTCATGAAGTGGCATGCAATAATCTTATTCTGCCTCTTTTCCCCAGCCATTTAAAGTTATAAAATACATTCCTACTTCTTGGGCCACACAAAAACTGACTATAGTTTAGACCAGATTTGGGCCCAGGGCATAGTTTGCTAACTCCTGATTTTAAGTGTATTTGATGTGTAAAGAAGTGAGACTCCCAGGATGACTGCTATTTCAGGTCTAAGTCACTGAAAAAATTAAGTGATCATTTTAGAGGAGACAATAGTTTATAGAAAAGAATGATAAATTAAGTTTTAGACAAGTTTCTTGGTGTTTTTCACAAGTCAACACCTCTTTCAATGCCTGCTCCATAACCATACACAGTGGGATCAGAACCATCAGTGTTTGACATGTGTGTTGGGGAAGATCAAATCACCTACTTAGTGATGTGGGCTGACACGAAGATAAGATAAATCTCATGGGAAAAATGCCTTATTTTAAAAAATTTTAAAAGTTTTTAAAAATTTGTTCTTTTTAGTTACACATGACAAGAATGTATTTTGCATATTATACATACATGGAGTAGTATAACTTCCCGTTCTTTTGGTTGTACATGATGTGGAGTTACAGTGGTCATGTAAGGATAATGTTTTAAAAAGACAGAAATGAGCCAAAGCCACACCCGCGGAGTGCTTATATTTGGGGCAAGAAAGGGTATTGGTGAAGAATATATAGATTGAAAAGAAGATGGTTGGTCTGTTTGGGGATAAATTAGGCCAGGTCTTATGAGAGAAACAACAGCCCATTTCAATTTTTTTTTGTGTATGTGTGTGTATGTGTTTGTGTGTTAGTGGATCAAACTTAGGGTGCTCTATCACTGAGCTATATCTCCAGCCCTTTATTTTTTTAAAATTTTGAGACAGGGTCTTGCTAAGGTGTTGAGGCTGGCCTCAATTGGAATCCTCCTGCCTCATCCTACCAGATAGATGGGATTATAGGCACGTATCACCCTGCCTGACTCATACTGTCTTCTTAATGAATCTACTGTCTTTAACCAGTGGATACTTACTGTAACTCAGGAACCAACATTCTGCCTCTTGAAATGTATTTCAAACAAACTTTTACACAGCTCCATCAGGCAGCAAGCGCAAGTGTTCCAACACAGTATGAGTTTTTGGTGGAAGAGGCCTAGAGACAACCTTAATGTTCCACATTGGGAGAATGGATAGGTAAAAGCGCATACTCATGCAACAGAAGCAAAAAAAAAAAAAAAAAAAAAAAAAATGTGCAGGTACCAACATATATGAAACTTTTAACAAGTAAGAAAAGTAAGAAAAAGCATTTTATATATACAGAAACCAATATGAAAATGAGCAATAACACTTGGACTTTAACAGCACAGAAAAAAGGCAAAGTACATATATTAGAGAGTTGCCCTTTGGAGGAGGAAGGAATGGGAATGAGATATGGAGATAAAAGGAAATAAACAACAACAAAAATGTGTATTCTCTGGGGATCAAACTTAGTGCCGTGTGTACTAATAAACACATACTCTACCACTAAGCTATACTTCTGTAGTCCGACAAAACTTTTAGTTTTTATTTATTGAGACAGGATCTCACCAAATTGCTGAAGTTGGCATCAAACTTGGAATTCTACTGCTTCAGCCTCCTGAGTTGCTGGGATTATAGGCATGCAACCACCATGCTCCTAACAAAAATATTTTTAGGAGCAGAAGAACCTAAATGATATGGCAGATAAATCTATAGGATGGATTGCCGGGTTTCTGTTCTCGCGACTAAAAGGCTCAGGGGTCACTCTAGTTAAACTGGACTAACTGGGCTGCATGAAATAACCACACAAGAGACACAAATACCTTATTCTTTGGGGTTGCTGTGACGGCTCCTCTGACCTTAAGGGTCCACAGAAAGAGAGAGAGCACGCGCTGACCCCTTTTATTGAGGAGAAGCTATTCAAATGAGGCAAGGGGTCAGGTTTCAGGGGGCTGAGTCTATCTTCATGATGTCCACTGTCAGCAGGTTGACTGACACCTGGGTAGGCCACAC